GCCAGGTTAAGTGGGAGCTGCGTTATATTTTTAAAAATAATAATAAATTCCTTAATATAATTTAAAAAGTTAATATTATTTATAAAAATATATTAATATACTTTAAGCTATTTTTAAAAGGTATATTTAATTTAATAAAGAAGTAATTAAAGTTAAACTATTAAAATTAAAGTAAGGAAAATTATTTTAATTTAAATTTAAATTAATTTTTAAAAAAGGATAAGGAAAGGAAACCTATTAATAAAAAGTTAAATAAATTAAAGGTTAATTTTAAAAATAATTATTAGCTTAATATTATAATTATATTAAAGGGGATTAATTAAATTACTATTAATAAATAAAAGTAAAATAAAATTAATTATTAATAATATAATAGAAATAATTATTATATCCTTACCTATTATATTAAAAAGAATATTAATAAAAAGGAGCTTTCTTTAACCTTTAAAAAAACCTTTTCTATTAAAAGAAAGCTTAATAATAATATAGAACTACTATTTATAGTAAAATAAGTTAAAATTAATATTATTATTATAAAGGTAATTAATCCTATATAATATATAAAAATAAAAGAATTAAATTTAGATTTTTAATTAAGCCTTATAAAGCATTATATAGGAATTTAAGCCTTTAAAAAGGTAACTTCTTTTATATTAATACAATTAAACGAATAAGAAATAAGCTTTTTAAATTAGCTTAAAAAAAAGCTAATTTAAAACCTAAAATAAGTTATAGGTTTATTATCCCTATAACCCTATTATATAATAATTAAAAATATTTAATTAAAATACTTTTAAATATAAATAATATTATTTTTATAATATCCTTTTTAAAGGTTAAATAATAAAAGCTATCTTTTATTAAAAAAATATATTTTAAACCTATATTAACTTTTAATATAATATATATATAAAAGGTAAAGTAATATTATATAAAATAAATTATTTTTTAATATTAAAAAAATTACTTTATAAAGCTTAACTTTAAATTAAACACTTTTAATAAAAATTATAATATTATTTTACCTTAATAATAAATAAAAGAACATTAGCCTATTTATTTCTTCAAAGATATAGGGAAAATTATATTTACTTTTAAGTATTACCGTAAAAATTATATTAATTAAGCTATCCTTAAACTAAAAACTATTAAGGTTATAATAATTATACTTTAAATAATAATTAAAATAATAATAAAATAAATCTTTAAAAAATTTAAAGAATTCCTTCCTATTATAATAAAAGTAATAATATAATAGTTATTTAATTATTAACTTTAAAATTATATAATTAACCTTATAAATAGGAAAACTTTACTTTAAGGACCCCTTTATATTATAAGCAATTATAAATTAAATATATTTAAACCTTAATTAAATAAAATGCTTAAAACTAATTATATTTAAAAATTTATTATATTATATAAGGTACCCTTTATATTTATAAAAAAGAAGGACCTTAATAATTTATTATACCTTATTATAAATTATTAAAGCTTTAATATTATTATAATATTAATAAAGTATTTTATTTTTCTTATTATAAAACTTTAGGTTAAATTTTAAAAAGTTAAATAGTTTATTAAAATTAACCTAAAGTTTAAATTTTACTTAATTAAAATTAAAAAGAGTTATAAATAAAAAATAACATTTTATTATAAATATAAACTTTTTAAATATATAATAATACTTATAAAACTTATTAATGCCTTTATAATGTTTTAATTTATAATAAATTATATTTTTTAAAACCTTATTAATATAGGGTTATTTATATACTTTAATAACCTTTTAATCTATATAAAAATAAAAAAGGAATATAATAAAATAGTTAAAAAAGTATTATAATACTTTAATAAGTATAATTTAATAATAGTACTTTAAAAGTATAAATAATATATATATAAAATTAAATTCTTTAAATATATTATTAATATTAATAGTATTTTAATAATTTAAAATAAAATTAACTATATTATTAAATAGGAAGTATTAATTACTTTATATAAATTATAATAATTTATTAAATTTATAAACTTTTATTAAAGGTTTATTAAAAAGTTCTTATTAATTATAAAACTATTAATAAATATAAATAAAATAAATTAATAATAATAAAAATAAACGGAAGTTATAAATAAAGCCTTTTTTAAACTTAAATATTAATTTATTATAGCCCTTATATTTATTTATTTTAACCCCTTTAAAATAGCTTATATTAAAATTAATACCTTTAACTTTACCTTTAAAACTATATTATTATAAAAAGATAATAATAATAAACTTTACCCTATTACCTTTTATTTTTAAAAGTTAATATTAATAAAAATAAACTATAAAATATATAATAAAAAATTATTTATAATAATAAATAAATTTAATTAATAGTATTAATACTTAAAAAGCGTTTAATATTAAATTAAAATTTACTTTAACTATTAAAACCTATTATATTTTATAATAGTTAAAGTTTTAAATAAATAATAAGTATATTAAGTATAATAATTATTTATAACGCATCTCCCACTTGACCTGGCCACCCAATTGACCTGGCCACCCCACTAGCCCATACAAATAACATCGGTGCGCTAATCACGTGATAATTTAATAACTCTATGAATATTAATCGTATAAAGTAATAAAATATACCATTAGATTCGTAATAAAAAGAGCTATTTAACGGTGCCCTTTACCAACTTTTACGACTTATATTCGCGGAGTTATTAAGCAATACGCTAAAGTAAGCGCTAAATTAATCCTTGCTTAGCGCCCCTTTAGCGTATTGCTTAATATCTCGCTTAATACATTTTATAAAAAATAGTAAAAAATACCTCTGGATTCCCCTCTAATCAACAGATTTAACGGTATTAATTATTAAATCGTACGATCAGTATTCGTAAAGTTATTATCAATTGAAATAATAGGATTTTATATGGGTTAAGGGGGTGGCCAGCTTAATTGGGTGGCCAGGTTAAGTGGGAGATGCGTTATATTAATTTATAATAAATTATTAACCTAATAAATTAAATAAAAAGGTTAATATTATATTAAAATTAGTTTAATATTACTTTAAAAAAGGAAGGAATAAAAATTAACTAGTTAAATTAGTTTTATAAAATAAATATTTTTTATATTTTAAAGGATTAATATTTATTTTAATAATATTTATTTTATTAACCTTTAAATAACTTTATAGCTTTATTATATTTAAATAACTATTAAAATTTATTAAATTTATTAAAAAAGTAATAAAGAATAACTTAAAGTATTATTTATAAAAAAAATAAACCTTTTAAAAATATAAAACTTATAAATAACCTATTATATAAAAAGGAATATTTATAAATACCTATAGCTATATAATAAAAAGTAATAAAAATAAAATATAATATATAAATAATTAAATATATAAGAATAAATAAAATATTAAAACTTATTATAAAAAACTTTTAATAGTTTAATATTAAAGTAATTATAAAGGACTTTATATAAAGCTATTATATTTATTAATAAAATAAAGCTTTATAATATACTTTTTATAAATTATTTTAACCTATAAAATTATATTATACTTTATAATAATTAATTATAATAAACTTTATTATTAACCTATTTTTATTTAATAGTTATAACTTTATTTAAATAATAATAAACCCTTTTATAAAAATAAAACATTTTATACTTTTAAAGGTTAAAAAAAAAATTAAAAATCTTATTAAAATCTTTATTAAGTATTATTAAAAATTATATAATATACCTTTTAATATAATTTTTAATAAAAATTTTAAATTTATAAATTATTTATAAAAGGACTTTTTAAAGTTTATTAATATTAAACCCTATATAAATATAGCCTTTTATTTTTAAATTAATAAATAAATGAAATAGCTTAATTAAATCTTTAAAATTTACTTTTAAACATTTATTAATTATAAAATATTTAATTAAAAAAACCTTTTATTAATTATTAAATTTATATATAATAATATTATATTAGCTTTAATATATATATCCTTCTTTTTTATAAACTATAATTATTATTTAATTATATATAACCCTTTTATAATATAACTTTATAATTTATTTAATAAATTATATATTTATTAAATAATATAAATATATAAAAAGGTTAAAGAATAATTAAAAAAGGCTTAATAATATATAAAGAAATAAATAAATAAAAAATAAAAAGCTTTACCTTAATATATTAAAAATTAATTAATAATATTAAACGTAAAAAATATTAAAATAAAAAAACCTATTAAAAAGTTAAATAAAAAGATATTTAATCCTTTTAAAATTTATAAAATAATTTTACTTATTATTATTAAATTTATATTATTTAAAAGGTAAAAAATTTATAATTTATTTTATATTTTATTTATTAAGCTTTATTATATTAATAATTAAATATTACTTAACCTTAATTAAATTTTATAAAAAGTACTTTTAATAAAGTTTAAAAACTATTAAATAAAAAAAATTAAAAACTTTTTAAAAATTTAAAGGAATATAAAATACCTAATTAAATAAAAAGGTTAATTAATTAAAAGGTATTAAATTTAAAAACTATATAAATATATAAATAATATTAATATAAAGGCTTTTATTAAATAATTTTATTAATAAAACCTAGGTAAATTAACGGATTTTTAAACTATTATAATTTTAAACTTATAATCTATTTAAAGAATTAAATTATATTTAAAGTTAAATATTAAAAAGAAGGGAAATAATATTATATAGCTAAAACTTTAAAACTAAAAATAACTAATATTATCTTTAAAAGAAAATAAAGCTATAAGTAATTAAATAAAAACAATCTATTAACTATAAAAAAACTAACAGTTAAAGCATAAATACCTAATAGATAAAAGGGAGTTACAGATTATATAAGGCCTAAATAAGCATAAATAGCTAAAGAATCTCCCACTCCAGGATAGGTGAAAGAAAGAGAGAGATCAAGGCCCTAGAGACCCCCTAATAGATTATTAATGAATATGACTAAGTTCCAAGCCCTCTACAAGAGCCCTTGTCACAAATTCAGCCATAAGCGGATACCGCGAAGCACAAATCTGGACAAAACACCAAGAAAGGTTGCAACAAGTGGTGCCATAGGGTTATGGACCCACTAGCTTATCTCAACATACAGGCTACTCCTCCCTAGAGACACTGGCAAGATAGCTGAGCGATCCAGGAAGCACAAGTTCATTGTTATGGAGACGCGTTGATGGTAATTTATATGTATCATTGAATTGCTGAGCAGTCAATATTGATTTCGTCTTACCGGATGAAACTTCTCCTCGTTCTCCTTGCCGTTGAACTTGGTGGCCATTTCCGGGTTGAGCCCGAACAACGGCTAAAAGACTCGGCGACCTCTTTCATGCCACCTGCCATTGGCGTTGTCATTGGCTCGGGGAAAAGGGAAAATAAACCCTAAGAAATATACCAGTTCCCTTCTATATAACCTTCTGTATGATCTGTGTGTTTGTTTCATTCCGGAATTACTTCCATCGAGGGTCTGACCCAACTTTTCCCTATCTTCAGGAAATGGCATCCAGATTCAGGGTCGCCTCATATTGGTGGATATTCCATTTCATAGCACTAGCAGTCGCAGTGCCGAAAGTCACAGTGATTCCTCTCCCGCATAACTGTGCATCATTTCCTAGCTACGACAACACCACTGGAATTGCCTCTCCTCTCAAAATTGTTGCAGACTCACCTGGAAAGGAAAGTGATGGAAGAACGTTCGTCCCTAAGTACGCGACGGCGATAGGGGGTGGATCATGGGGATTCGTGAGTTCTCCGTCCTCATCAGATTTATCATGATCAGATACAATACATTTATCTTCTGGCTGCCTGTCACGGCAAACTACGCGACTTTAGCTAATCAACTCTCTAATCAGATCACAATCCCACTAGACGCCGCTGCAGATAATACAAGAGTTCCCATGCGATGTAGTAACAACTCGTTACAGGCGCAACTAAATACTGGTATCAATGGCTCCAAATGGCAGACGCTAGTTGCTGCCGGGACACCCGCTGAATCTGTCTTTGGGTTTGGACTACCAAATCTGCCGGACCCAAATTACGAACTCGAGCCCTACGTACACGAGATCGAGGGTGTAAGGCAGTCTGGGGTTTATATCGGTGCTGTCAATGTCACAACATGGGGGTTCAACTACCAAAACAATTCCGAAACCGGCGAATACTATTTCTTGAGGCTCCTCGGACCTAATAGCCATAATCTGGCTACTGGAGAACAATTGAATGAGGGTGAATTTACAGGGTATATTAAAGTCGAGGACTTATATAACTTGGAGATTTCAGGTGACGATTGAGTACAGCTCAGTTGAAGGAAATCCAAAGGGTTTATGTGATAAATGCAGTCATGGGATGCTGTGTGAAAATCGCTGTTACACGAAGGATTTGAGGTCTTTGTGACCATCCTATGCCTATATATAGCAAGTCTCTTTGCCTGTAACCCATGTTCGTGATAGGTTATTGAGCAGGAACTCAGTCCTGGCCCGTATGGAGATGTAACAGAGGGGAGAAACTTTTCTCAAACTTATAGGGCAATGCGCTTGTGTATCAAGCACGGAATGTATACTGAAGCTAGCTGTGTAAGTACGATCCCGTCCCCGAGAACTACAACAACAACAACAATCTGCATTTACGCCCTACACTTCCCGTAGCATACAAACATGCAGTTGTGTGCGATGGATACATGACAACAAACTGTAGATTATGTGACGTCTTGTGATCTGCGGGCAAATCTCGAAAATAGCAGGTGCAATTGTCGATAGGGTATTTTCTCGTTCCCAAGAACTGTTACGCAAGCTTGTGCGAGAATGTGATGTCACTGACATGTAGTCAACGAATGTGAGTAGTGCACGAAGGGCCGAACCAATGCGCCGAGCATGTAGCCAACAGTCCGATCCAATCGGCGGAAACCGGTCGCTACCTTCGCGTTCTACCCCGGGTACTGCTCGGCGAGCTATGACCTTGATTCGGATGTTGTGGGTATGGAACAGTACGTTGAGATGCCGTGGTAGGCTAGATAGGCCGGCTATTAGTAATAGTGTCAAACCCCGGCCTCCTGTAGGCCGCCAAGGTCAGTCGATCGCTGGAGATGTCGTGGCGATAGACGTTGTCACCTCTGCAAAAGGCAATTGCCTGCTTCTCTGGCTAAGCACCGATGCAATGAGTCGTCTGTTGACATATAAGTAAGACCCCGCTCCTCTTCTTCTGTAGTCATATAGTCTTAGCTCTTCCAAACTCGATCACTATCTGTCTTTCACGTGCAATTGATTCAACAAAATGCAGACGAAGATATTTGCTGCCATCTTTCTGTTTGCTCCTTTTGGGGCCACGCAGGATCTAGATCTCGACGACTTCCCACGAGCTTGCCAACAGGCCTGTCAAGACATATCTCGCTTATCAAATGATTGCGACAACCAGACTAGTAGTGACAGAGACGAGATAAACTGTGTCTGCAATGGCAATAACGCCGAAGAACAGGCTAGGAACTGCGCCGCCTGTGTGAAAGCTAACGTTCGAGGTGACGATGACGACGACGACGACGACGACGGTGAGTTCGAATGCGCAAAGCTCTGCATCGGACCCTGTGACCCAACGTTCTCAAAAGAGTCAAATCCACTAACCCAAATTCCACTCCAGATCTTGTTGACGTTTTTCGTGCTTGCGGTTGGAACTATGATGAAGTTAGTTCCACAACCACTTCCGGCACGGCAAGCAGCACAGCGAGCACAAGCAGCGTGATAACTACGACCGAGACTTTCCCAGCCAGCACCACTACAAATAATGAATCTGGAACCTCTACCACGGAAACGTTTCCAGCGAGTACGGTCACGTCTACAGAGCCAGCTTCCCCAAGCAACACAGAAAGCGATACTCCTGATAACGCTGCCGCTGGGGTTACTGCTGGCGTGCGTGTCGTCGCGGCTGGCTTGATGGCTGCCCTCCCTGTTATTCTATAGACTAAGCTTCGCATGTAAGTCTCGCGAGGTCATAAGACTCGGTGATACTATCGAAAATAGGTATACAATGAACGCACAGTTGTAAATTAGACTGTTGTTGTTCTGTTTCTTTTAGATTAATATCCAAGCTTATCTACATTAGCATAAACTGCCATGAGTTAAGTCATAGTGATCGTGCCTTTCGCTACATGTATTACAATCGATTTGTTATGTCACAGTATCAAGCTCCAGTGGCCTTGAAAGTCAGACCTTTTCACTGTCAAGTTTCAGCCTGCTCTCGTCATTTCGTTAACAGGCCAATGAGTTTGACTAGAGACAGAAAGGAATTGAGTACCACACATGAACGGCTTCGAATTAGCGCGCGCTACAGACTTGTCCTTCGGCTTCGGGGACGAAATGATGCACACTAGGATAGTGATAGAAGTGCACCTCAACTGGCGAGTGAGCATATCCCATATGTACAGTACCTAGAGAGGCATATTTCACGATCCTATAAATAAGCACTAGTTACGCTAGTCTTTTGGTCAGCGATAAGCAGGCTCGGCAGGGAGTTGGTTCAGAGATTGGCTCTTAGAAATATATGGGAAATGCACGAAATAGTCGCTCAAGATGGCGCTGATTTTGTCTACATAGCTTGAAAGGTTTTAGGCGTCGGGCCTGAGCTTTAGCGCACTACATAGTGACTGGGTTAAGGTGTTGCTATGTTTCGCCTAGTGGGCATTCGCAAAACTTGTCATGAGACTCTGGCGCGAGATGGCCTTGCTGCTGTTGCCGGCGGCTTGTACTATGTAGTATGTATCTCTACAATATAAAGCCACTGGGGCGAGTTCCCCAGGAAGATTTGACTTAATTTTGTGTGTGCGGTTGATGATGAGGATATAGCTTCTCATCCCAACCTCGGAGAGGTTAGCTATATGGTATAATAACAACAGAATTTCATTATTACTGCTTGAAGCTAACTCGCTGAGACACTATACCACGGTCGCGTTGGGTAGAATTAAGATAAGTGACTATGTACAAAGTTGTGTTACTCTAAGTAAGTGCAAGGACGAAACGTTATTCAACGCCATCCAGAGCTAGTCTGGTGACGCGGGTTATAATCAAAAACCAGTGTCCGATGACTGACCGATATATCAAAATTGCAGTAAATACAACGTGCACTATATCGTATGTAACAACTTTATTAATTTTTTGATGTATTTTTACAAAATGGCTGGTAGTCTGATGGTGATTATTTCGTGACCGAGCCAAAGGTTGGTGTTGAGATTGCCGATACAATCGCACATTTACCTCTGTTAGATTGGGTATCATGAAAAGTTCCAAATAGATATAAATTATGGGGATATTAGCCTGCATCACTGCAGTTCAGCCCTTGTCATTGCGTTGTTGGGGTTTGCTTCCGGAACAAAATGATGTCCCTGCCCAGCGTCGAGTTCGGCACCCCGAACCTCTCCAGTCTCTGGCGGTTTATAATATTCGGCGACCACTGGCGGGTTACTGTTGTAGGGTTGTGGGCTCTGCTGGAAATGAGGTGGGAAATCATTGTTCAGAGGCATTTCATAGGGCTGGGGGTTTGGCTGCTTTTTCGCTTTCGATTTTCGCCAAAACACAATGGCAGCGACAAGAGCTCCGAGACCGAATACGCCAACTCCCACGCCAACGCCAATACCGATCTTAGTTCCTTCGGAGAGTCCGCCCGAGCTAGGCGTGTTTGTTGCAGCAGCAGTAGTAGTAGTGGAAGACTCAGACTCTGAAAGCCAGGTTAGTAAATCCAATGTAAAACATGTCCTAGGGACGCATACCAGAAGTTTGAGCCGGTTGCGTCGCAGATGTTGAAATGGTAGATAGCGTTGTTGACGGTGTTGCATTCTCTTTAACAGGTATGTAGAAAGAGGCACTCAAGAACCCCCCAGTTGCCTTTTGATCGGCGGTTCCAGTCCCATTTACACCACGGAAGACGTATATTTCTGTTGCATTAGTTGAGTCGGTCGTTACATCCCATTGAAACCATCTCTGCGCCGTATTTGCTGCACATTGTGTTAACATAGGTATTCTATCATAGACCCGTAGGGTGGAAGGTGGGAAGAGAACTGACTGGTCAGTTGAATTGGATTCGCCCAGTCATAACCAACGATGAGGTAAATGCTCGTCGTCTCGTACGTTGTGGTCCAGCTAATATTCATTTGGTTGCCCTGAGTATAGGACGAGGTCCCGCCATTCGGCTCGCTGAATGAGCCATCTGTATAGGTGAGCGCAGGTTCACCTGGAGCAGGAAGATTATCATCTTGCCCCAAAGCAAGGGTAGCAAGAAGGGAGAGTGGTAACAACGAAAAGAGTCGCATTTTGGGCGAAGTCGCCTCTCGAGACTCAAGATACGCGAGGAGAAGAAACAAGAGAAAGGCTCGGCGCAAGCAGATTGACTCAGGTGAAAAGTCAAGAAGTAATAAGTGGCATGGTAAGCGGACCCAAGACACGCTGGGAACCCAAGAGTCCTTGCCCAGAGCAGATGCCCAGAACGGTGCAGATGGCCGTTTCACATAAGATCCATGGGGCTAGAGAAGGCTAATGGCAGATTTTGCCATAGTCGGCAAAGTCGCTAGACTCTTCAAGGCGAATAAGACGCAGATCCTTCGAAAGACGTCAAGCCACTCCACCCCAATACACCTGGCTGGTGGTAGCTGAGGTACGGTAGGTTCTCAGATTGTCATCTAAGTATTGCCCGCATTGCCCAAGAGTACTTGTACAACAGGATCACCGATGCATGCAAAACTCTTCATGAATGGTGCCAAAGAAAGCATGGCTACAGGACTTGTATGCATGAAATGTATCTGAGGTGCTACCTGCTGTACGTACGTAGTAGCCAATACCAGCAAAGTCTTGGCCATAGACCAAGGATGCATTATCTCGGGAATTAGCGTGATAAGCCAGCCGATTTCGTATATTTTTATCGTAAGTTAGACCCTCCTTCATCAACAAGGTAGCAAGGCATAAGTATAAATAATCTACATGTACACTGCTCAGAGCTAGCACAGGTAGAAAGTCAACAGACCCTCCTAGTGGAATCATTTTACTACGTACTCCTAAGTTCATATTAGTTTCAAGTCGAGAATTGGAAATGGGCTGCCTGTTGCGTACCTATCTCTCTATGCGCTGGGTTCATCCGTTATAGGGGATGGCGTGCAACCGGGACACTGGTAGGCCGAGAAAAAGGGGCGGAGTAAGCGTTCTAATAAAAGCATTCTTGGATATGGCCCATGCTCTTGTGACTCTCGCTTCAGCCCTGCGGGGCTTCGCTCAGCCAGGACTGGCCAAGTGGTGCGGAGCAAAAACTTACCTAATACGTATGATATATTAACATTGGATCAGTTGGCTAATCTTCAACAGGCTCGATCAGCCATTTGGGTCGCCACTGTACGACCATAGCGTGATGCACCGTCTACGAATTTCTGTGGTGCTAACACTCTAACAAGATGCGGAGGTTGTAGGCAATAGATGGAGACGTGAGAATGACGATGTATTCAACTTGGTTTGTATGCTTGTTCACACGACCTATGTAGATTGTCACACCGACCGACAATTTATCCGCCTAGTCTCGACCATACGCCCACCGAGAGAGATATAACAACATCTTGTTTTTGCCTCGACTCACTACCTCTTCATCCTCACACAATCAACAATGCCACCAAATGGTAAAAAGGATCTTCGATAAGTTGGTCTAGAACCGAAAACATTGCACTAAAGAAAGAATGCAGGGATCCTCCACTTTCGTAGGTCGACAGCCAGTCAGACGCTCGAGAAATGATGAAAGCCCCTCTCTATACAGTCCCCATCACAGTGTCCAGCTTCATTTGACTGCCGCGTTACCAATAGCTCTGAATAGCGCGCCCAAGATTGACTGGCTTGCAACAATGTTGGTGCTTCTCTTGGAAACCCCCCTGCAGACAAGTTGGCTTCCAGCATGAATAGCCTCTCGTTGGTCCAACACTGCAAAATGAGTCTGAATCGCGCTTCCAATGCGACACAATCCTCGATGTTGCTGGCGGCCACTTGCATAGACACTATTATCCCTGTGGAAAATTGCTTTGTCTGACCGACACCCTTTCTCTTTCTCACGTGCCGGGTCCTGGCCATTACGCGATTTGCGTGTATCTCCTTTTGCTCAAGTTTTCGCGAGATCCATATCAAGTATCTTCCCTCATTTTGCTTAATGTCGATCGATTTTGAGCTCTCTATCACTTAATCTACCAGTGCAACAATGCCAACCTTACTTTCGAGGTTATCACGATCGCCGACCCGAGTATTCGTCGTAATCCTAATCACTCTCGTAATATTCCAGCTTTTCAGTATCCGATCCCAGCCGACAACAAACGTCGATGGTCGTACAGCAAAGTACGACCCGTGCGTGGGCCTCGACGGTCTTGAAGACATATTCGTAACACTCAGAACGGGTACCACGGAGGCGCCTAAAAAGCTCCCCGCACATTACACGACCACGTTACGTTGTTTACCACATTACGAGCTCTTCTCGGATTTTGAAGAGATTATAGAAGGCAAGCATGTATACGATGTTCTCGACGAGGTGAACCCGCAAATTGTAGCGACACACCCTGACTTCGATTATTATAACAAGTTGAGAGGCAAAGGCAGAAATGCATTTACGGCGGAAGAGATGGCCCAATGGGCCGCAGCTAAGAATACAATGGGTGGCCGCGACAGTCCTGGCTGGAGGCTGGATAAGTGGAAGTTCCTCCCGTTAGCCGACAAGGCATTGAGAATTCGCCCTGAGGCGAAGTGGTTTGTCTTTATCGAGTCCGATACATATGTACTCTGGCCGGCCTTGCTCTCCTGGCTCAAGCATTTTGACCCATCCAAGCCTTGGTATCTAGGCCAACAGATGCAGATTGGCGACGTTGTTTTCGCTTACGGCGGGGCTGGGTTCGCCATCTCTCAACCCGCCCTCAAAAAGGTTGTCGAGCATCGTAACACGAATCTAAAATTTTACGACGACTTCACTGCCGGCCATTGGGCTGGCGACTGTGTTCTAGGAAAAGCCTTGGCTGATGTTGGAGTCCCTCTAACATGGTCGTTCCCTACCCTCTCAAGTGAAGAACCGGCTGATACGGATTTTGAATCCGGCTTTGGGGGCCCCGAAAGGCACCCCTGGTGTTATTATGCAGCGAGCTATCATCATCTTCCACCTGTCGAGTACCCTGTCTTTTATGCCTTTGAACACGAGTGGTACCAAAAAGTAAGACTTTGTTCACTTCTGGGGCTAAATCATTCGAGACCGCGGTTTTGCTGACCTTCGAAATTTTGCAGAATAATACTTTATTACGACACAAAGATGTATTCTATAACTACGTACTGCCGCGATTGGCTGCCGAACGTGACGACTGGGACAACCACTCGGATAAGGAACAATCGACAGCAAGCACATTCAAGGCTTGCCGGACGTCATGCGAAAATGACCCTGCTTGCATGCAATATTCGGTAACCGGCTATACCTGCAAAACATCCACCGCCCTGAGGCTGGGTCGTAAAGCTTCCGCTGCTGAGCAAGTGAACTCCGGATGGATGGTAGACCGTATCGATGCTTTCATCGACCGAATGGAGTCGGCCTGCAGAGATAGAGATTGGGTTTTGCCATAACGACATATCCATTGTGGAAACAAATCACGACACACTACAATACAAACCAAGGTTATCAATGGAAGTATCGAGGTGCCCTTCCCGGGTATTTCTATGTGCCTCAACGGCTCTCATGGGTAAAGAAGACTATTTCCCCATGGGACAGATGCCGCTCATGAGGGCGTCTAAACCCACCAATCCTAACCAGCGGCGGGATCAAAATTTGAACAAATTCAAAAGTCAGAATGGGTGCGGGACGACATAGCTCACGGAGCCCGATTCTGAACCAGACCAGAATAGAAGCAGTATGCTTGATAGAGAGGCTATATTTCGGCGTATTAGAGTATTGGATACTGGATATTGGATATTGAATAAGCCGAGTTCCCACTACCTCTGTACCTTTAGCTAATGTAATAACAAAAAACCAACAGTGTTGGCGATATCCACTTCAGACTCTTGAATAAACAGCAAACAAAAGCAAAGTCCAATCTATAAAGTAACTTTCGCGACGTAAGAAAGTGCAAAGGTTGCTCTCTCATATGTTTTCGACCCGCGGAATCCATCGAACATGTTCCACGGACAAACAGATTGTAAGTGCATGCCTAGGCAATTGTGAAGAGCAACGTTTGGAGAACCCACACGACATGAACTCACTCCCCACCCTTCCACGTCCGATTCCCATACTAGATGCTTATATATGAATCTTTCAGAGTTCCTGTCTGCTATTGAGAGGAGCTAATTGCTTAAGGGGTAGACCGACGTCACTGCTTCTGAGCTGAATCACGATGTAAGTTTAGAGCGCGACTTAGACCCAGGCAGTCAATCGGGTATCATTTTTGCATGATGGTATAATGCCTTCTCAGTTATAGTCTTTCTATGAAGGAGATGTGTCTCATTCGCCGTCATGTTTGGGAGCTTCCTGGGTAAGGTTTTGGGTCTCTTCTCGTGTACCCAGCTAGACGCTTTGCACATTGGACTTTTTATCTATCTTCCTGTTCTAACATGTACTGATATCTTATAGTAACACATGCCTAACTGCCGTCACCTGTACTAGGTTACTCGTCAATAGGAAGGGAGAAACGAACGGATACATCGGCTAAGCGGTATGTGCATTTCTAGTTCGCTCCTAACGGACACTCGAGCTGGGACCTCTCAACACGTACCTAGAATTGGACCTTCACATATAACTACCAGCCAACCTAACGGCTGGGATCTTGGCACCTTATTCTCTGCGCAACGCCAGCTAGAGACGGCGCAACAAACGGTCAAGGCCCCATTTGCCCATCATTACAATGGCAATTTATTGAAGCTAATTACCGCAAGGCCCCCTCGTGCTACACCGTCGTAAGACCAGGTTGATCCGGTATCCTTCTGTCACGACGTATCGCGTCCTAGGCCGCGTTCATATGATAGTATACGTCGATAATGTACTTAATGGTACAAATCAAGTACTTTCCCGACGCAAGTCCTCGCCATTGCTGTACCGACTACTGTTGTCGTGCAGGTTGCTCTGGTCCTTTCACACTGTGCTGCCTTGTGATGTTTTGCATTGTAGACTATGTCACGCGATGGTGTACTTTAGTCTGCATTACCAGCTGTTACCAGTCGAGTCTTTGCTGTGATAGTTGCTTCATCATTCCACACTTTCCAACCATCAGAATTCGATCTTTATATAAAGGAGTGATTACGTTCAAATACATTACACGAAACCATCATCAAGCGACAGTACTCTACTTCATACTTTCACACTATCATTCGTTGACCATCTCTGGCAAACTCGTCCTTTCAAGTCTCTAAAGGTAGTAGCTCTATATCTGACCTAACAATATATCGCAGCTTACCTAACCAGGTATGGTAGTGCAACCCATTATCACGAGCATCATTTCTACTATAGTCTAGACTGAAGCGAAAGCCATCACTACTGGTCGCCATCCTCTATCCTGACGGACACTGTTACCCTCACAGTTGTCTATCGTAAAGCAATCGTGGTTGTAGGGGGCATGAGGCACAACGCCAGATTTCGTTGACATAATGATGTGGTGTTTTGCAGCTAGGTCCATTATTAGGCTCGCCGTTTGCATCATTATCAGACTTGTTATGTGGACATGCCTCAGATCAGCCTACCAAATTATACATCTACAAGAGTCGAAGTATTGAGTTTAGTCTTGGCCAGGGCTAATAGCATGCTAGTATCAGCCAAGAGGTTATTTAGTCCGAAGTCAATAAGACGATACCCGACAGTGGACATTGAACATGACAGCACATGGTGATCGCTCTCATGAGTGATTCGCTTTGGTGTAAACTGTCGCTCTGTTTCACAACGTTCAACCCTAGCATCACAAGGCGAGTCCTCCAGAGAAAAACGGCGCGTTATTGTAATGGTAATAGGAGACCGACCAAGAACCTACAGCTAACTGAAGCGTGTTCACAAGACTATGAGGCTTTAGAGTCATGCATGTTGGCAGTCACAGATATCCCACTCTGAACTTCCCGGAAATGACTAGGTTATTTCCAGGATATTCGCCGAGATCGATGCCTTGATACCCCCCATGTGCCAATAAGAATTGTCAAATACCACTGAAAGTGGGTTGAGATGGAGGACATACTGAAAAGAATTAGCGAGGCGTGTTCGATGTGCACTCAATAAAATTATTCATGCCAGAAGTCCTTTGCTTCCTGTTGAGCGAAGCTTTTCGGAATGAGATGATGGACTCAATGCATCAATGCAGATTACCGGGCTACGGTACGATCGATTCTTGCCAATGCCAACTTCATCCGCACCATCTGAACCCGTTGCTGTGGTGGTACGCCCGCGACCTCTGAGCGCGTTCAGGCGAGGCCGTTACTGTGGTGGTATCTCCGTTGCTGCGCAGAATCATAGCAACCAACCCTCAGTACTTTATCTATATAAGAATCCCCTCCCCCCTGCCTACTTTCACTTTCACTTTCCTTCATTCATCGTCACATCCTCACTTCCACCCAAGCGTTAAATCACACCTACGCATCAGTTTATCGCGCTTGTTCGTCACTGATAATTTCATTGTCTCGTATGAATATCCTGCACACCACACACCAAGTGCACGTCTTTGTTGCTAGCTATCATCAACTACCGTAAGTCTTGCCTAGCTTCGCAGTTTCTCGCGGATCCTCGTGCCACAGCTAATGCAAGCGCCTCCTGGTCAAGATGTCTGACACTTTAGCCAACGTCAAGCTCACCACCCCTGAGCTAGTTGCGGTGATTCTTGACCTTATAATTGGACCGTTCCTTCTCCTCGCTTGCTGCATGACATTTGGTTGCTTCGGCAAGAAAATTGGCGTTTGAGACCCGTGGGAACGTCACCAGGCGTTCGAGAGCTCGAGCTCCGCGTCTTACGCAATCGTTAGCAGGCGCTGATCCTGATGTCGAGGCTGCACGAGTTCATAACCATCATCCCAATGCAGGCTCTCGCGCTATGAATCAAGATGTTGACGCTGCGCAACAAGTCGATGGGCAGCGGTCCAATGCCAACACGCAAGAGGACCACGGAAGATGACGGTGGATGCATGTTCTCATTAGAGATTTTACCAGTAAACTCTTCGCGAGAGGTTCACAGACGCGCGCTGTCTGATTCGCTTGCCATGCATTGCAGGGTAAGTTTCAAATACAACATTTTGATATCATATTTACACGAAGCTAATGAAAATCACAGCTAGCCACAGTCTACGGGCTCGTAATTAGTCAAACAATTGGAGACTTAGTTATACGTGTAAGGGACTGGAGAGATTCTTATGGCAGTCAAACAAATGGAGGCTGCTCAGAACATATCTCGTATCTCATACCCTTTTTGTATACATGTATCAACATATCATCAGCGAAAATTTTGTCTGTTTGAGATGGGTATGTAACAGTCGCGGAATCAGGTTTGATATGGGAAATTAATTTTTAGAAGAGGTAACCTTGGGATGTCCTCTTAGAAAATCAACGAAGCTGGTGCTCCCAGCTCTGACTTAGGTAACATGATATATATTGCAGTGACATGATGAACTCCTAGAACATGATGTTCAGCTAGAAATTCTGGCTGCGACATGGTCTTGTTCGTATGTGTCGCTGTTACTCACAACCAGTTTACACGCCATCTTGACATCTATACTATGCCTTCATATAAACTAGATTATACTGCTAGGCAACATCTTATCCAAGCCCGCAACATCTGAACGCGTCATTTGAGGCCGTTGCTGTGGTGGTATCTAGTTGCTGCGCACACCCGCAGCAACCAACACTTAGAAATTCATCTATATAAGAATCCCCTTCCTCTCACCTATTTTTATTGTTTCCTCCTTCCCTCCTTCATTCCTCACCAATCCTCCATTTCTTCAGCACGTTGATCACACCTGTAACACCAATCTATTACACCTGCTTATCTCCGATCACCTGCAACTCCATAACTTATACCACATTTATTAGGTGTGCATCTTCGATTCCGTCTATCAATAACTATTATAGGTCCCGCCGCCTCGTATTCTCGTACAAGCTCTCATAGCATGGCTAATATATTAATCACCAACCTCTAGGACAGAACAACTATCATCATGTAGCACGGAAGCTAAGTCGATATTGTTGCGAATATCACTCGTAACGCGGTCATATTCGAACATGGTGGTTGTGCATTCACTACACCTGAAATAGTCCTCATCATCATTACCTCTACTCTTGGTTTCCTGCTCCTTGCTTTAATCCTATTTGCCTGCATTAACTGGAAGAAAATCGGGCGTTTGCTGCTTGCTAGAACATCACGTGGCGTCCGCGACCTCGAGCTTGGCCACTTGCGCAACCAGCAGCAAAGTGCCACCCCACGCGCCGAGACTGTTGATGTAAATGATCGTCGACCAACGATCGATACACGCACTGACGAGGAAGTCGATCCTGACGTTGAGACTAATGCTTACGTCGAGACTGCTCATATCGATAACCATCGAACAGTAACCACTGGCAGTGAGGGTGAGTGACGGTGGTGGATTCACTCTCCTATCAAAGCCTTCGTGGGCAGACTCCGCTTCAGAGGATCGCAACCGCATTCGTCCTCGTAGGCTTGTGGCATAGCAGCAAAAGGTTAGTTTCAAGTGATAGATGCGTCAACTTCATGGTTGCCGAGGCTAACAAAATTTTAATTACCCACAGCCGTTAGGCTGATAAACCACGTATAGATCTAAGATCTGGCACTCAAACAAACGGAGAGTGTGTCTAATATGTCTCTTTTCTTATTTGTAGATTCAAAATCAGAGTCTCTTGTTCTTTGTTTGCACGCGTCACAATACCCCGGCTGAGGAAACGTTGGGATTACATGATACCATTTTGGGGCAAGGTTATACTTGGTTGTTCTGGTTATATTGAGAAGGCTATATTAGAGCAAGGGTCATGAGAACAGGTTATCAATATGGAACTCACGTTAGAGATATCATGAGAAGTGTTTTTATAGATCAATAATGAATGAAGCCTGCAGGTACCCCCAAACTTTGAGTTGAGTGGCGCATTCCCTATTGCAGTGACATACATGATGAGCTTTTGAATGGAGCATTTAACTAAGATTACTAAATGAAGTTACGTTTAGTGTTCTTAGGTGCTACCTTTTCTTGCGGGCATTCCACAGGTCAGCTCGACATCTGAGGCATGTTGATGAAGGGTTTTGGTGTTGACTAAGGCTAGAACGTCATTCTCAATCACGTGAATGGGTATGCTATAGAGTACTCACAGTGACGATCTCAAGGCAATCAATAGTTACTTACTAGTATCCTCATTAGTAAAAAACATTCTGCAGAAGGGATAAAGTGGGAAACTCAGAAAAATATATTTTATAAAAGACAAATTGTCTATTCTAACAATGCCTAATCTAGTCTAGGTTTATATGCTGTCTTACGCCTTTTCCTGAACAATGTGATGACTTGAGAGATCTTTGATGACATAAATCTGATCAAATAGGACAACTTGGTCGAGGAACATCGACCAGATATTCATCCGCCGCTTGCTCAACCTTGCACCAGCGAGATCCTTTGTAGCCTCCGCACCTTGGGTTCTGAGGTCCTCGAGCTGCTTGAAGGCCAGCATCAAGCAGCTCAACTCGTACTCGCCAAGAGTGTGCAATACCTTCTTCTTACTCTCGACGCTCTCGTGGGACTCGAACTCGGGGAAATTGACTGAGTTGAGGGCACCCTCCTCTTGGTCTCGCCTTATTGACCCGAGATCGTTGTAGATGCGAGCCATAGTGGCGAGGTGTCGGTATACATCAGCAGCTACGTACTTTTCGCCGGCGGTAGGGAATACTTCCTTGCCACCGCCACCGGTAGTAAGGGTGGAGCTGAGAAGGCATCCGATAAAGGCCCAGGCGAATGGACCAGATACGTTGTCTGCGCCTGTGCTGCGGGCCCAGCTGTAGAAGGTGCTGGTAGATCCGGCGCCGGGTTTTCCACTCTCGCGCAGCTCTCGGAACTTCGCGCTATCTTCTTCTTGTTGAACTTGGGCCAGGAGGTAAGTTCGGAGCTCACGCTCGAGAGTCTTCTGGTCCGCGGCACTAGCTGTTTTGACCAAGGGGTTCTCAAAGCAGTACTTCTTAAATCCCTTCAGGGTGGCAAGGACTTCCTCTTGGGCAGAAACAGTGCCGTTACCATTGGCGTGGCCGTTCTGTTCCTTGGTCACGGCCGTTTCCTCTTCAGGAAGCACTGAATAGATCAGATCACGAAGTTCAGACATGCGGCCCTTGAAGGCGGGTGCTGCAGACGCCTCCATGAATTCGTCAACCTGGTAAGTCAGCATGGAGAGAAGTGACACCTCGTATAGGAAAGTGGCAGACGCGAAGGTTCGAGCGCGGTTATTGGGGCTCGTCCAGAAGAGTGGGATAAGGTCGAAGTACTTGTCCTCTTGCATTCCTTGGCGCTGAAACACTTCCAACCTGCGCTTGAGTAATAGTGGCTTCAAAAGAACGGCCTCGATCATCGACCCTTTGAGTTCCCATTCAGGGTGTGCGCTAAACAGCTCAGCTTTTGCGAACAACTTCACGTGCTTATCTAAGCTCGAAGAAGATGTATCCTTCCAAAGACTGGCGCCAATCGTGGCATCACCTGTAGGTACCGAGCTGGCGGCCTTAAGGGCTCCTAGCACGTATGCGTCGGTCAAGAGACGAGAAGCGTAGCTGACCTTCTCAATCCAAATATAGTGTAGAGGCCGCTCCTCGATGGAGTTAATGAAGGCAACACCGCGGTTGATGGCTTCATCCAGAGGTTCACGAAGATCGTTGAAGAAACAGACGCGTCGAGCCTCGCTCAGAATCAGAACAGCATATGCGGTTTCTTCAATGGACTCGTTCCACGAACCATTCGCCTTTTGGTCGAGCAGGGGTCTGAAACAAGCCTGGAATAGAGCGACAGCAAGCCTGGACTGTAGGTCCTCCTCAAATACACCGGGCAGTTTGTCTTGCTCTATTAAGTTCAGGATATCCACAAAAGCCTCGACTATGAGCACAGAGGGATAGAGATAACAGGTGTTCTAGATAGACAAGTTAGTTGCAAAAATCTCCTTGATTCCTTGATGTTATCACGTACCCATTTGTCGACGATCTTGCCGTCAGCTTTCCACCAGAAGTCGACGAGGAACTTGGCAACTTTGTGGATTTGGGTAGAGAATTTAGACACGTCCGGCTGATGTAGAAGAGCCAAAAGCGCATTACAGTTAGCAGTGGGGCTGGGATCCCGCTCTCCGGCATAAGTACGGAAGTGAGTGTCTGCTTCAAATACTTCGATCAAGCTGTCCGGGCTAACAGGTCGCCCAAGCATGTTCAAGGAAGAAATGGTCTTAGCGGTGTCATCGACATCTGCCTCAAAGAAAGGAGCTATTGATTGATATTAGTAAATTGGTTCATGAAAACACACAAGTTCTTCATGAAAACGTACCAAACCCAAGCACACCCTTTTCAACCTTGAAAGAGTGGCTCATGATATCCAACATCTTAGTCAGCTCAGGGCCTTCCAAATCAGCCTTGGTGTAGCCAGCTCTAAGTAGAGTTGATAATATCTGGACCTCATATTAGAATCATGCGTTATTTGCCTTTCCTCAGACACTTACCCAGGTAATTTCGAAATGTGTCGAGGGGAAAGCACTGGGAACAGCTCCGTTGCCGCGACCAGCAGCGTACTTGATCACGTGTCGAATGAATTCCTCAGACTCATCGTCCCACTCCGAAGCGTGCATCATGTATGCCGCTGTTGAAGAAGGTGAGCCCAACATGGAGCCATGCACTCTGTGGTGCTTCACCTTGTCAAAGTCTAGCATGCCAATGAAAGACTCTAATGAGTGGAGGGCCGTAAACCTCCGAGGGCCGTAAAGGAACTCTGGCCGGAAACGCGACATTTTGGCATTGTTGATCTTCATCAAAAGTTTCTTAGATTCAAACTCGAAGACTAATGACGGGTCTTCCTTCTCTAGCTGTTGGAGCATGGCTGGGACGATGATTTCGAAACCAACGTGCTCTGTGGTCGATACATCCCAAGCAGCCAGCTGCGATCTCAGGGATGTTATGGCTTTGTCGATACGGTTGGCAAGATCCTGAGGATCGTGCTTAAGCTGAAGAGGCTCGGCATGATGACGCTTAAGAGCCAACAGAGGGCCGGCTGTGTTCAAGATGCCATCGATTTGAGCACCATAGCCGATCGTCCAACCACCCTCCTCTGACTGCGTTGATAGGATATACTCGAAGCACTCAGGGAAGAGCCACTGTTTCTGTCCATCTACGACTTTGGTTACCATCGCAACCCAGGCCGTATCATAGGCAGCAACACTCATCGCCCCTAAACCATACTTTTCAGTATAGTTCTCTAAGGCCGTTCGAATCAACGACTTTGCATCGTCGGCAAGGCTGTTAACGTCCCCCATGATGGCCAGTTGTGATGAACCTGAAATTGTGTGTGTCTTCCTCGTCTTTCCAATAATGAATGTTCAAATTCAAAGATAATTAACGTACGATGGTGGTGTTATCTATTCATTCATTATGCCCCCTTACTTCCTTTGCCTTTGTCATGCCACTTATAAGCCATGTGCAAACCGGCGGACTCGGAGTGCTTAATATGACAAGCCAATCTCGACTAGGTAAGCCTATGCTTATGGGGCTATTTGACCAGTTGTCTGAAACCCCAGAAGGATTAGAATCTACGGCCTGCGATTTGTCAATTCCGCTGACTGTACGCAGTGCATAGTACGTAGTATAGTCCAGGTCCAAAAATAAAAGCAAGGGACCGACAGTCGGCTCGCCAAAATCGGCAATGGCCGTACCGGGGTCCGCCCCATCAAGGTCTCCGTCTATTATTAGGGGACCACAAGGGCTGAAACGATGCATTTAATTTCGATTTGAATAATCGGTAAGTGAAGTTGGGGTCGCATGGTCGATATCTAAAAAGTCAGGCCTGGTACCTCAAGTTCTCTGTCAGTCTTTTTGGTCATCAACTCTACGACTCTACTGTCGAGACACATGTCAAGATGACGACAGCAGACGCTTCACCTAAGCTTCAACAGCTTGTACAAGACATTCTTCAGCGCGATGACTCGACTCGAATTCTAGGCACAGCTGGCCTGACCGTGGTATTTCTCGTTTGGGTCTACTATCGCTTCCTCGCGACGCCGGATTTGAGCTTCCTCCCCCGTGCTGGAAAGGCGCCCGGTTTATTTGGACTTGGTATCAACGATGTTAAGCGAGACTTCGCTAAAAATGGCACGAAGATCATCAACGAAGGCTACCGAAATGTAAGGTGTTGCAGGTTCCTGGATCGCAGAGCTGAAAACGACTGACGCCCTACGCGCAGAACAAGAATGGAATGTTCTTGGTGCAAACCTTGAATGTGGAACGTGTTGTGTTGAGCCCCAAGTACATCGAAGAGATCAACAGCAAGGTGCCTGAAGGAACGCTGGACATGGTCGAAGGTCTACGAGAGGTACGTTTGATGGACATTATCTTCAAGACTTGGGGTCCAAGAGCTCACTAGAATAAAAGCGGCTGCTTAGTGCCCAAACAAACCTCGACGTGGTCTTTAGGAGTCCCCTCCACATCGATGTTTGCAAGGACCAACTGACTCGTAACCTACGTAATTACCCCCGTCGGCCTTCTGACAGAACGAGCAGAGTCGCTAACTTGCTATGACAGACCACCTGATCGGACCTCTTAACGATGAAGCCAACCACACTCTGTCAAGACTCATTCCCCACAAGGTCGAGCTCAAGGCGTACGACACCATGGTTGGGATCATAACTAAGAATGCATCCCGGATGTTTGGTGGAACCATGATCAGCCGAAACGAGGAATGGCTCAAATCGGCGGCCGACTACTCGATGGACGTTGTCAGCGTTGCTGTTAAGCTGCGCCCCTACCCTGCCTTCATGCGCCCCCTGATCTATCCCTTCCTAGAGGGGTCTAAGATCCTTGACCACCACCTGCACGTTGCCAAGAAGACTTTCAGTCACATCTTCGCGGAGCGCCTGGCCCTCAAGGATACCGATGAGAAGCCCGTTGACATGCTTCAGTGGCTCGCTGACTCGGCCCGCGGAAGCGACCGTAACCCTGATGTACTAGCTCACAATATGTTGTTTATGGCCCTTGCCTCCGTCCACACTAGCTCAGCTACCATCATCCATGTCCTGTTTGATCTTTGCGCCAACCCTGAATTTATGGAGCAGCTCCGCCAAGACGTACAACAGGCCGTCGACGAGTCCGGCTGGACGCTAGCTTCCATTGCCAAGATGAAGAAGGTCGACAGTTTCATGAAAGAGTCCCAGCGGATGAACCAAGCAGTGCTGAGTAAGTTGCCTGCCGCATATACACTAATATTATTTTTAGCGGTGCTGACTGTGGTCGATCTAATAGTGACTTTCAACCGCAAGGTAGCTCGACCCCTCAAGTTTGAGGACGGCACCACGCTCCCCGTTGGAACCTACATTACCATGCCCAGTCATGCCGTAGCTACTGACCCTGATATTTATTCCAACCCCGAGACCTTTGATGGTTTCCGCTTCTACGACAAGAGAATGTCAGCCAAGACTGAGGCCAACCGACATCAATTCGCGACCACTGGCCCTGAGAGTCTTGCTTTTGGCCAAGGCAAGACAGCATGCCCCGGTCGCTTCTTTGCCGCCTCCAACATCAAGGTGGTGCTTGCCAACCTCCTCCTGAACTACGACATTTCGTTCCCTCCTGGACAGACAGAAAGACCCAAGAACCTCCATAAGGGTGGTCTAGTCCGCCCGGACCCCAGACAGACTCTGATCTTCACCCCGCGCAAGTAAAGACGATCAAAAATTGATTCTGTTATGTAAATAGTTGCATTAATGATTTCCATTGTAACGGCGCGTGGGTGGCCAAACGGAGTACACAGCATATTAGACTATCTACACTAGAGTTTGGGGTCTTCAAAGATTTGATATTTTTTATTAAATTACATACATTTTTTCGACTGCGATATTACATACTACCCTGGTCTCTTCCCATGTGGCTTTACAAAATCGGAAATTGATGAGAGCATCAACGTAGCACGTGGAAAGCTGCTGTGTAATGGTGTGGCGTACATGTAAACCCTGGCGGTGTTAGCGTACCAGAACTTTACAGAGTATGTTCGCCTGAATGGGATTGTCCAGTCTGTCCAGGGTCAGATACCTATCCCTCGACACGTACCGTATCGGAGGCGCCGCCACACACTTGCATTGCCGGAAACGTCACTTACATAGGATTAGAGCGGGAGCTACACCTCTTCCTGGATTTAGAATGTTAGCTCAATACAAGGACCCAATTCCTGCTGAATTGCGTAACATTTGTAACAGGGTCCCTAGCCGAATTCCGGCAGAGCTGTCGTACGTTACCTGAACGCCCCCTGACGAAGCCCTTTAGGCCAGCCTGGTAACAGTTGAGCAAGTTCCCGGTTGCACCCTAGTTATAGCCCGGTAACAACCCTGCACAATCCTTATTTTTGGCACTGAGCTTAGATCCTGGAAGAGGTGTAGGTATACTTGCTAACGGCCAATACGCTGCCCCATGGTGAGTGAGGGCTTGATTGGCCTTCACTTACCTACCGAGCCTACCTACACCGAAGCAAGTTGGGAAGCCCTCAAGACACTGCGCAGGCTGGTCACAGGACCGACGATCAACTCGCATAAATAAGTAAGGGATGTCGTCGCTTAGCCCCTTCAAGAGAATGCGACGACATACCTAGGTACTGTAAAATATAACAGGTTCGCTAAAAATAGACGAGCACTTTTTCATTGATGAGCGGTCAGGACCAATGGCAGTGTCGCCAACAGTAACAAGCAACAAAACACCACTCAGGTCCTAAACTTGGAAGCTATGCAATCACGAGGTACAAACGCATTATGTTGCGTCGTTTGATTTCACAGAACTCTCATTTTAGATTCCTCAAGCAAGCAGTCTATGAAACAACACGAGTTTGGATATCGACACCCTAACGCCTGCAAGGACCAATAATAATCCACAATATTGAATAACACGCCCTTCCCGTTGACCGTCCTAGATATGCCATAAAACCCCTGTAGAAAGAGAACACGTTATGTCTACCTATCTATCTACATCTCCAGTGAATATGAAGGATTTTACTTCAACTCCAACTTGGCCAATAACGCGTGGATGCCCTTGCTCTTGTCTGACCCCGCGTCAATAGAGTCAGCCTCTTCCTTGGCCTTGGCAATTAGTATCGACACAAGCTCCTTGGTGTACTCAAGGCTGCCAGTGCTCTCGATATACTTGACAGCATACTTCTTGGTGTCAACGTCGGTGGGACGCTGAGCGAGAATATGAAGCAGTTCTTGGTTTTCGGGGTTCGATCGTATGCTGTGGATAACGGGGAAGGAGAATTTGCCCTCGGTCAAATCTTCGCATAGACCTTTCTTTTGGGTGTAGTCAAGGTTTGCCAAGTTCTTGTAGTCGTCGGCAATCTGGAAAGCCTGGCCGAGAAGCTCGGCTAGCGGCAAACAGTCGAATGATGTAGGAGATTGAGACTGCATCAACTTGACGGCAAGACGGAAGAGACCACCTGTCTTGTTGGAGACCATCTCTAGATAGTCATCCTCAGTTGGGCAGGTCAGGGTATCACGCCAGTAGAGGTCCATGCCCTGACCTCGGTGAAGATAAAGCATTTCAGTTGTATAGATGTCCATGGCCTCTGCCGGGTTCTTCAGCTGCTGTAACTCCTTCAGGGCAAGGAAGTAGACGTAGTTGCCAGCGTTGATGGTCTGTGCAACACCAAAAATGTTGTGGGCTACGGGTCGTCCTCTTCTCAGCTGTGAGTTGTCCTGGATATCATCAATGAGGAGAGACGAGGTGTGCAGCATGCGCACCACCTTGGTAATGATGGCTAAGCTTTCTTGGGGAACTTCAAGCCAGGTGTTGAATGCATTCAGGAGCAGTGTCCGAAACTCCTTGCCGGGCTCTGAGGCAATGTAATCATAAGGGCTCAGGATAATCTTCTCCTTCTGAGCAGTCCATATCCAGCCGTTGACCGAGTCCATTTCGTCCTTGGGTGGCTGTTCTGATGTTGAGGATTGGGCAGTCTCTTGAGCACTCTTCTGTAATTCGTCCTTTGCTAATGCTGGATATGTTGCTGGTTGACCCTTTTGTTGCAAGCTCATAGTAGTTGGTGTGAGCAAGCCTGTTGGACGGCGCTGATGAGGGTAGATAGAATCAAGTAGTGGTCTTAGTGATGATTTCAATGGTGCCCAAGGGGAAGATACTGGTGCTAATGCAGTTGTTAGTCGTATATGCTTGGTGGGTTGGCATTGTTCACTTACCCTGCGCGCCTGATTCCATCGTGACTATATGGCGTTGGGAGGAAATGAGAGGATTCGGATGATGGGCTAATGATAAGAGTCTATGTATACTAGTTGTCTCGGACTTCAAGTTCGGCAAGTCTAGGAACAGGGGTGGATATCAGGAAGAAGAAAGAGTCAAGAGGTTGGACGGCTATACAAATGGCAGTCATGAAGCTAGTCATCCATTAAGAGAGCGAGAGCATGTGATAGTTATCAAGTTTCTACGCCTGGCAATGCCTCGGAACGCTGCAATGGGAACCCGCTGCTTACCTGTGCAACTAGTCCATGATCAACGCATGCTGGGACAGTACATGTAGTAATTTTCTAAATAGAGACCATATTCCCTGTCGAGCCATCTTGGGTAGCCTTGGTTGACAAATCGAGAGGATTCGCATGCACGCCTGTGCTGCCCTGGGGCAAATTCCGTCACCCGTGGAAGTTTAGTGTCTACTGCTAGGCATCGACAAGCAGGTAGCTGAGTCTCAACAGTAACTGCATTCGTCTTTAAATTTGCCCGTATAAACACAAGTGCAGTCTCGCATGACATCGCCCTCTTGACACCAGGCCCACTGTCAGGGCGGCTCTCTAGTGTCGCGTAGTGTACATCATGGGTTGCTGTTACCTAGTGCGTGCTCAATGCTGTAGGCATTCCGCTAGGCGACAGAGGTATGCAGTAGAGATATGCAAGGTAGCATACACTTACTTACTTACATCAAGTTACATGTAGGGATGGGATCTGGTGAGGATGGGTATTAGTTCCGCTTGGCTGGAGACTCTATTCGGGTATTCCAAATCCAGTTGCTACAGTATGATCGGGCCTTCCGAATTAAGTGCGAGCGGCATCTAGACTCTAACTTAAACATGCAATTATATTGTTGATTTGGGAGATTTGGAACATGGTAAAAGTGCCTGGTCGGTATTCCATGGGCTACACATCAAAAACATTCTGGTCTTAGTGTACGGCACAGACGCGGTAGAATTGTGGCAGTAGGGCCAAGAGATCTAAGTACCGAGCTCAGAATTCGGGAATTCAACCCATATTGTGAAGAAGATTATATGCGAAGGCATTTTCGGGGAGGTAGAAAATCAAGTATGGGAACAAATAAAAACCAGCCTCTTACTTGAGCGTTCCAGCTGTTTGACATGGCAGCATTCAAATGTAACGTAGGTAGGCAAGGTTACGACTACATGACATAACTACACTATGCATAACATGGCACACATGCCTCACCAACAAGCTAGTGCTACCGTCCTGTTACTTGATTCCGGTAAATATCGCTTGTGCCTAACTAGGAAGTTTGTGCCATTGAGATGCCAACACGAAGAGTTAATTGTACGCACACCGCAAGCTGGCATCAAAGCCAATGCCTGGGGCTTCTGCCTGGGGAGCGACTTGGCATGCCTTGGCGGAGAAAACGATGACCAGTGGCTACATAGTCGATATACCGCTTCCACGGTCTACCTGTATGTAGACTAGGATTAATCTAAACCATCGATTAGTGTACTGTTTAGCTGAAACTCGAGTAGGGCTTATGGGATTGATGAGGTGAGAGTCATCAATTGATTATACTATGTACGGCTTTCTGCGACAGGTGCTATGAGGACCGCCGTAGGTATTGTAAGATACATCCATGCATTCCCGTAATGCTTATACGGTTATACCTAGCATAGGCATGCATCTATGCAGTAGTTACTTGTGTCACAACCCAAAATCGAAGGTCCGAAGATGTGTCCTCGAATACGAGTTTGGTCGAGCATACTGTATATGGACACCGAGGGTTCTTCAAATATCAATGCTAGTGCTGCCAGGTAATCTCACTGCTGTTGACAACCAGACGCTCTATTTGTTTGTTCACACAATTACTCGCTAGCAATCTGAAGGATGGCATCAGCGCCAGACGAGTTCATGCTTTGTTTGTCACTAAAGCGCCACCTATTCCAGTGATGCAAACGGTCAGCCGCGATGCCCGTTGTGCTTGTAACGAGCGTGTTGCACGGAATTAGCTGGTTATTGAGGCAGGGTTATAGTCATCCTGCGAACCAGCATAGGTAGGTATACTGCCACGCTATGGCACGCTTACCTACTCTACACGTGTAGTATACGCATGTCCAGACAAGGCTCCAAAAATGATGCCATAAGTAGTCAGACTTTGACCCCAGACGCCAAGTTGAAAAGGACAGGATGCAATACGGAGGACACGGTACCCAGTAGGTTTCCCTATCCCTTACAATCCACCACCTTACATAGTATGTATGCCTACCTAATAATGCTAAGGTAGCGTATCCTACGCTAGTGACGATAATATGATGATAAGATGAAGATGGGCTGACATATAGGCGGGTCAAGGATGACTGGTGTCACAGCTGCCACAATGCAACGCCCTCAGAAGCTTATTTGTTTCCACGGAGGCATCTGACTCTGACTAATCCGGCACAGACCAATGCCGTGAAACTAGGGCTTACCAGGTAGACATCGTGCCTAGTGGCGGAGCTGGCTTTCGAGCGAAAATTTAAGCTTGATTTCATGACACGTCTACCTAGCCTTGCAACGTCTCTGTAACAGTGGTGTACTTAGGGTACCGTACCTACATCTATCCGGCTGCTCGGTTGAGAAGGAAATTGTTTCCCCAGCTCCCAAGGCCGTCCGGCCGAATTGGTGTGCTATAATTAGCCCTAACATGAGACAGACATGGTGAGTAAGCGAACCAAAACTTGGGGGTTGAATGGGTCGCGAAGACATGCCTCCCTAACAGCAGTGAGCAGCGCTCGGTTGATCCGATCCGCTTTTCGCGGTACTAGCTATGTACACACAAAACAACTAAATTTATTCTACTATTCTAGAAGGGTGCTCAGAGGGGTGGCCGTGACGAATGACGATCAGCGTTGAACGTGGAATCTGTTTGGTCAGCGCCAATATGGCCGGGCAGTGTTAGGCAGTGCACTAGATAGGCCGTCACATCAACACAGTAGTAAGTAAGTAATGAGGATCAGCGAGACGGAATTATCCGCAACTCAACGACAGCTTGCGACTTTGAATACCTGAAATGAGTTTATTCCACTCTAGGAAGGGAAAACAGGCATACAGGAAGAAGGGGGACTTTTGCAATGCAGATTCGAAGACCTCTCTATATTGTCGATGATGTTTCCTCTAAACCATGCTCCTCTATGGGTGAGTTTACAGTACATGCCGCATCTATGTTTCTAAGTCTATGTTCGGTCTATCGCGCCAGAATAGTCCTTCTCTATGCAGTCCAAGGTATCCGTGATTTTTCAACAATAAACGAATTTGTAGCAAGGCCCGTTTGTAGATCGCGAATAATGGCTTTATGAGCAGGCCAGCTATGCTCGCTGACGATCCTGTCAAGCGTGCCGAGTAAGCGACCCAATCGTGCAACGCGTGCTGTAAGAAGGCTCTGCAGAACGAGGTGCTCGTCGTCGTCATCGAGCTGCCTGTTCCGTATGCTGATGCCGTATCTGCGGCTGCGGCTCTCGTCTACCCCCTCACCACCATCCTCTCCGCACTTCCGCCGCTTTCTATCATCCGGGCCATGCTCCTGACTTGTGACTATATCAGAACTTGCCCATGAATTGCCTTGACATAGATCGCCTAACGTTGTTAAGATCCTCCGACACATAGATAAGAGAAGCATAGTGTAGGCAGACTGCGCCGTGCATCTCCTGCACTCGAGAAGCTCCTCGCACTCAATCAATGCCTTTTTCTGATACCGTAGCATATCATCGGCATTCCTCCAGAGCTCGTTCTGTCCCCAAACAGCTACCTCGATAGCCTCGTATGTGCTGACGGCCTGTGAAAAACAGGAGCAGCTTGAATCAGATGTAGCTGGGGTCGATGCTAACGTTGATGGTTTGCTGTCACTGCTAAAGATCATATCTTCCCGTTCTGGTGTGCTAGTCCACGGCGACTTGATCTCTTCGGGCGTGAATGTGAATGGTTGTTGCCATGATCTCATGGCATCTGAAGGGTCCATGTAATCTCCATCAGAGAGCAATCTAGGGATGCTATCGGATGTGGTGAAGTCGGATACTTCGAAGCCGCCGAGGCTTAAGTCTAGGTCATCTATCGTGCTACTATACGTCGTCTCTTGATTCGAGATGATAGTGGCAAAGTCGTCATCATTCGTTGCATCCACCGGTGCTGATGATGGCCTTGACTGAGACTGGAATTGAGGGGTTTCTGGTGGAGTTGGCGCCGGCGCTTGAGCCGGAGCGGGAACTGGAGCTGAAGCTCGCGCTCGGGCTTGTGCCTGAGCTTGTGATTGTGTCTTCTTGTGGCTGTTTCCCCTTGGAGGGGAAGGATAGCAACAATCTATCTTCTTCGCCAGACATCGTTGGCAGCCATGTGGCTCACCAGAGCACTTTAACTGTTCGCCGCATTTAGCTGGTGATCTCACCAGAGCCACAGTGGTGATAAAATTACCTTGCTTATTCGGCAGTTCGTGCAGGCAATCTTAGCCAATCTTCCCTCCCGTTTCCTAGAGAAAGGAGGCGTTGTTGTCTCGAAGGTGTAGGCCTCATCTGACAGGCTGTTGTGTTTCAGTGTGCAGAACATTGTGTATGAGCTCGCCTTCGCTACCCGCCAAGAGAGATGGTGAATTTAGAGTATCGGGAATCGGAAACTAAGAGCCCTTGTATGCCGCTGCGCGGCAGTTCTGGGTTGCGTATGTTATATATAATATCTACATGTGTTGCTTATGCTCTCATGGCCTACACTACCCTTGCGGACACTACATAGCACACCATGTCAATAATCGTCTCTTGCCTGCATCCACTATCAGATGCTCCTCCATGAGGAATCATAGTGCGGTCTTGAAAATAACGGGACCGTGGCGCCAACCACACGCTACTCTCGTAATGGCGGCAGGCAAAGCAGGGGCTCTGGCCAGTCTTAGATAAGGCTTAGTGTGTAGCACAGATCCTGCCCACGTAGCGGAAAGATGTCAGACGAAGGAATTGTCATCCAGTTGCAGATTGCAACAGATGGTTTGCAAGTTGCAACAACAAGTATAGTCTCTCCGCCAATGAGGTTACTCCCAGGCAGTGCTGAATGAGCCGAGCAGTATTACTACTCTTCTCGAACCATTTCTCAACCAATAGGCCCAATCACAAGGATCTTCTAAGCGACAGTGTTGAATTACTCATTCGCTCCTCACCCCTCTCAGTCTAGTGTGCCCTTCACCCACGCCAAGGATCCATCTTATCAAACCTACGTGCCCTCTGCTGCAGCTTAACCCTCGACCCCGGCTACCTACCTCCCCTCCCTAAACCACAACATACCAGTCGTCGTATGGCATGGAGCGTTAGTCCACGGTATACTGCAGGATACTAGATCAGAATTTAGCAGGATACAGTGATATACGAGTGCTGCATTACGAATACCGAGGGCAAGGGGGGGGTGTGGGATCACGTACACCACCAAGTAACAGGCATCGGATCCTAGCACGGCAAACTCACCGACAGGTCGATGATGCTCAGAATACAATGAAGAAATGTAGCAAAATATTCAAAGGCACGAATGATTAGAAAATAAGCCCATGTCAGGAACAGACTCGAGTACGCAATGTAGATCGTCCTCATCCCCCCATGCCGGCCGGGTTTCAGCTCCAAACTTTGGGGACACTCATGCACTAAATACTGTACACTACACAAATACAACCTTGAAGATAAGCTGCGATGTTAGCGTACTGTCGTCCTGTAGAATTCCCCTTTGGAATTTCGATACTCACATGTAAACGGCCCTACAGAGGCCCTACAAAGGTCCCATCCAGGCTGGGAGTTGGCATCAAGTAACGCTAGGCTAGTGTGGTCCTCCTTCAAGCGGCAAAAAGTTATCGGGTCAGATCGTCTGTCAGCTTACATGCACACATACTGCCATGGTCAGCTTAAGCACCAATGGACATTGGTTGCCTGGTTTAGGCTAGTCTCGCACCTACACCGTAGGTTGAGGTTCTTGTTGTGCAGGAAAGAATTTGTAGGTAACGTAAACTAATCTATATGTCACTCACCCATCGTAGGTACTACCTATGTAGGCTTCCCCATCCCGTCACATTTGTTATCTTCTTATCTAGGCGAACCCTTCTCTATGGACTGCAGGTGTTCTCTCTCGGCTGTAGGTAGTACAGATAGAACCCAAGTTCGGCGAGCAAAATCCGAGGCAATGTTTACATGTATAAGACCCTGCCATCATGCACATGCGCATTCATGCCGTACATAACATCGCCTGGAATCCTGGAGCGGCAGAATTTGTGTACCGGCTATATCGTGTACCTAGTGTAAGTATGGCGGTGGCACGTACGGCATTACACAAATACCTGCTAATCCCAGTCTTAGCTTCGTCCAGGGGTGTCTGTCCCCATCCCACCTCGCCAGACCCTTTTAGCAGACCTGTCTTCAAAAGGCGATACCCTGCGAAAGTGGCTTGCCGTGCTGCTATTCTTGAAAAGGAAAAGGTGAATCAGTGGCGAAATGCCACGGCCGCCGCCCGATACTTCATGCACGTTTGAGGCGCTCGGTTTCCATCTTGGCCAATGATTTGTCGCCGTGCGATAGCTCTCGACAAGATTCGAGAATGTGAGGAATCGTTGGATCACGACGGAGTAAGCCGCTGCTCAACCTCGCCGGGTGTTCTTTTGGTTCTGCTACTACTGCAAGTCAAAGCCTAGCCCGGCCCAAGTAAAAGAGGATTTGACGCTACTCGGTACTAGATAAAAGCTCCAGTATCTATTAGTGTGTGTTCACATAATGCAGGCCATCATCACTAAGCTCCAAGCACATACCATGGCGGCCAGGTTGTCTAAGCACCAGCTTAATTGTACCTAGGCGAAATGGCATCAATCGTCATTCAAATGTCGGAATTCGCTATCATTCCATTCCGTCCCTTGCAACGGCAGCGCTAACCGACTCCTTCGCTGCTCGTCGTAATGGCATATTCCGGCTCAGCCAAGCTAAGAATCACAGGCTATCGAACGATGAAGACAGGCGTACTATGTAGTCACTAACTAGATATGCAACCATGTGCTGCTGGCGGGACCGACCCTCGATTCTGAAAACAGTCAATGGGGACCCTTTGCGTCACACTAAGTCCTAGTACCCCAAATCCACTCGAGTCGGACCGCAGCCTCTAACATTGTTGCAGCATGAGCGCGCAGAGAGACATGCTCAGAGCAGAGCCCTGGAGCCTCATATGCGGAAGGAGATCGGCATTCCTGTGGCCCAGAAATTATCCGCTCATCAATCCATCAGGAAACGGGAGCTAGCACTACCACAGGTTCAGAACCCCTACACGTGTAGTTTCGATACTACGTTGGCATTCCTTCCTTTCCCCCAGCCTATCGTACCAGGGTTGGGTATTTGACATTACATAAGAAGGATTTCTATAGATTAGAAGACAGCATCATCATAAGTCATATTCCAGTTACCGCCGAGGCTTAGTTAGTTTCGGGTTCAACAAGGACTTCAACATCCCTCCGGAAGGATCAAATGTATACATAACACAAGAGTAAGTGATCATGATTCTAGTGTCTTTCCAAGATGACAATCATAAGATTCCTGTTTCATAGGAGCCGAAAGATGTTATGCGTATACTATGTACATAACATGTATGTGGATTGAAACACGACCTACTTACACTGATAAGTTCGACTTTCCTAATGTCGACAAGTGCTTTCTGGACCTATCAACATAACATGCTGGTGCGTAAGTGTCCACCCTTAACCGATACCTAGAGCAACCTACATGTACATGATTAGGGTGCTATGATATTTTTTGCAAGGCTGTTACCACATACTTACTTATATAGGGTATTTTAGAGATTCGAATATTACGGGACCGAGCCACAGCAGTGGCTGGGTTGTTCGTTTCTTTCGACAGCGGACAGATACCGCAGTGACGGCTGCATTAAGAATTCCGCTATTTCCACTCATAAGCATCTAATCTGATATACACGATCATGCACCTGGCTGCACATGAGCGGCGCGAATACGTGCAGTACCGTACAAGTTCTTAGCGTATATACTACGTAAATGTACGCGATAAACCGATATGTGACTTCCAAGCTAGCCAGCCTATCCCCCAACCTCAATAGTAAGCATGAGGTGCGCTAGGTATACACTATTGCCGCTTTGCTAGACCCAAGTCTAATACACGGCCTTTTCATTCTTACAACCGATATTACTTAGTTTAGCTTATATGAAGCATTCACTACAGGACTAATCACTAGCACGTGTTCGAGGCAACCTCGACATTTGTCACAAGCAGGAAGGATTTCCAGTGGTTCTAGCCAACCAATTAGGGGCACCGTCTCTAAGAAGAAGCACTAGGAACTACTGGGGACATCCTTCTCCTTCTTGTCAGATACGGTTAAGATGAATAATACCCAATGCTGCTATCTAAAAAGAGACAAGTGTTTCTCTCTGGCCTCGAAACAAGCTCAATGTACCGAGGATGGTTACAATTTCTGCAATAGGTATGATTAGGCGCCAAGATATACCGGCCTTATCCTTCAATCTGAGATGAGATTTCAGCTGAATGTATCTTTGTAAGCGCACAAAAGATCGTAATGCTTGCAGAATTGAGGGTGTGATCAGATAGAGAGCCAACCGTTCATAGGGTGAGCGAGCTGTAAAGAGCCCTGTAGTCGGCACGAATTTCATGTGCAGCTAGTTTTAAAGCCTAGGTCGACGGCGACAAGTCGCTTTGACAGATACATCTGAAAAATTTTCCCGGCGTTTGAACCCTGTCAAATTTAACAGGACTTATGTCAGAGGCTACCAACTGCTTGGAGTCTCAAAAAAAAAACTGAGATTATGCTCAGGGTCGGGCTGTCGAGGAACGTAAAGCATAGGAACATGTATTAATTGTAGTTGCTAGAGTACCTCGACATCTCGACGAATAGTTCTCGATCGTAGACATGACTGTTGTTAATTTAGGGGCTACATTACGACGCTTGCGGCTGTGTATGAGAGAGGCAGTTGGGACCGTTAATGTAACGTGATAAAATTCAGAAGCGACCCTAGTAGACAAGTACTCACGCATGTACAGATGACGACGATAATGTTTCTTAATCTTTCACTACTTCACGAAGACGATTAATAGGCAACAAGAACGAATCATCGGTGCAGTAAGTAGTAGTATGATGTTGCTGCCTTCGTCATTTTGGGTCTTGCAATTTCTCTACCGCTTCCTTATTTATAACTATCCTACCATCCCCTGCCAGCCCACCGTTGAGTTCACCGTAAAGAGGATGTTACATCTTAGGCCATCAAAGGCATAGAAGCTCCAGGGGCTCCTATGTAGGTGTATCTGAGCGACCAAATGTCTGGGCCTACCACCTCAATTACTTTTTCCTGTCCTGGAACAATATCAAACCCATTGTCGCTGAGACCTACATCCTGCATCTCTTCAATCACAAACCCTTTCGTAGGACGACCCGCTGAGATCGTGACTTTATCATCTCCTAGAGCTCTGACAGTGATGTTGCGATCACTAAAATCCAAATATTTAAGAGGCTGCGGCCAATACGTATCGGAATCTATGGTGTGGTCGTCGATCGTAAGAGTGGCATAAATCACGTAAGGGTCGAATTCGGAAATATTAAAAGACCTCAGCTTATCCTGCTTTTCCATGCTACTTTCGGTAATATCATGATTCTTAAGAACTTCGGTGGTAGAATTAGGAATCACAGTCACCCCGTTGAGTCTAACCGGCTGCCTTATATCTTGGCCGGTCTTGATAGAGATAAATCGCACTGCTATATTAGCTTGCAGTGTTTGGGTCCGATCGCTGACAATCCATAAGTCGAACTTCGAATCCTTGAACGACTCTGTGGGATCGACATGCCCGGATGTCCAATCATGGTATTCCCTCGATAACCCGATGCTAATTGGTTTTAGAGCATTCTTGATAGCGTAGTAGGCGGGTTTCTTCACGAGATAATAATCGACTACTGCCCAACTCATCGTGGGCCAGCAGTCGTTGAGTTGCCAAACTAAAATTCCTCCACACTTTCTTTGACCCCATTCCCGACGCCATGCTTTGTATGCAAAATGCATAGCCTCAGCTTGGACGACTTGGGTAAGATGTGTATATGAAGCAAGATCATATTTGACAGTGAAGTTCTCATTCACGTAAGCTGCTACACGACGCTCATGGTCAATGGCCTTGTTGCGAAAATCCATCATCATAGATCCAGGATATCTTTGTTGCTCGACGGTGATCATACTGCGAATAGTTTCTAGATGAGGGTAAGCCTCCACTAGAGTGATGTCAGTCTAAGCTCCTTAAACTCGATATAGCCCAAGCCTAGATGCCCCTTGCCATAAATGTATGTCGAAACTCACTTCCGAATTCACTGATGAAACGAGCAGACAGCCTGAATACTTCTTGATATCTGTTCATTGCGCCATGCCAGACTGCAAGCATTAGCAGATAGCTACGCGTTGCTAGAGAGTGAAAAAACATACTGTCCCATTGGTGCTTGTCACCAACCGTGGGGTCTGAGGTTATCTTGCCATCACCCCAGGGACTGGTAGGATGACTATCGAGGAAGTCAGGAACCAGTAACGCTCAACAAGACTGAGCGGTAGCCAGAACGTAGGACCAGGAAATATCACATCCTAGGACGTCACGGCGAAGAATACATACTAGATAGCAAACCGGTCTTCCTCTGATAGAATCTTTGGAAGTAGATATTCGTAAGTGTATCGGGCGGGGAAAGTTGACTTGAGCCATGACTGAGGATCTTTGTCTTCGTAATTGTATTCGAGTTTGTATCGTTCTTGGACTTGATAGTCCTCGTTGCTGCCAGCCCAGATAATTAAAGAAGGATGCCACCGCAACCGGCGGATGTTCTGCCGTGCTTCGGTCTCAACAGAATCTAAGAAAGACTTATATGTAGGATAAGATGCGCATGCGAAGGCGAAATCTTGCCACACCATTATTCCCAACTCGTCGCAAGCGTCGTAAAAGATATCATCTTCATAGATGCCGCCACCCCACTACAACAGCTGGAGTCAGCAATTGCTCTTTCAGATAAAAGCTTCGGAGACACACTTGTGCCCCTAATAGGCAATTATGACCTTCGGGAGTAACTAGAACAGGGAGAAAACAACCCCAATGGTTACATACGACACGGATCATGTTCTGATTACCCTCGTATAAAAGCTTAACCCAGTCACGGTATCGCTGCTCGGGGATTTGTGATACAAAGCTGTCAGCTGGAATCCAGCACGACCCACCACAGAACACGTCGTTGCCGTTGATTCTGAAGAAGAACGATTTTCCAAATTCGTCCTCCTGTTGGATGAGCTGAGCTCGTCGGAAACCAATCCGCTTAGATCTCGTATTATAAGATCCTGGACTAGCCTTCAACTCATACCGAGTTTGAGCCCCGTGGGTGAATGGATACCAGAGTTCCGGTTGAGCTAGTGAGAACGATGCTTCCGCGATGCCGCTCGAACTGACCGTACAGTCTTTCTCAAATACAATCGATTCATTCAACGATAATGATACTTGGATTGACTGGCCGGTTGCTTCAGATACCTTGGCTATGATGCGGCCTGAGCAAGTCTGTAGGTCTTCGCTAACCTCGTACTCAGTCCAAAAGTCTTCGATTCTCGCAACATACTGCTCAAGGTAGACAGGTTTCCAAGGACCGGCAGTTATCAGTATAGGACCCCAGTCCCAACCCCAGTGGTCTGCAGTCATTAAATTTTAGTCAGCCAGTCATTGAGGATTGGAATTACGGGTCCCTTCAGTGAAAGATTCAGCTTTTCCCGATCTCAAACCCGAGAAAGAATGCAATGAGTACGTTCAGAGCCACATACATTGAGCCTTCCGCACGGGTACACGGCTAACCTCAGTCTGCCTCACGTAGAAAGTATGCTCATGAGAATGCTCCTCAACTAATTCTCTGCCACGAAGCATAGCCGAATCGAACTTGATCTCCAACTCGTTCATGTCCTTGAGTAGATTCTTCACGTCGACCCGGTGAGAGATGAACATGTTATCAGATTTTAGGACCTCGGTGCCGTTAAGCCAGACGGTTGCAAACGTGTCGAGACCCTCGAACACCAAATCCGTCGTCGCCGACAGCTCAGATGCCGGCCCCAAAGGCTTGGAAAACTGAGTTCGGTATGCCCATTGTTTCTCGGCGAGTGACCGAACTTCCAACTCGTTGAGATTCAGAAAAGGGTCTGGTATTCTACAGTAGCGTGAGTAAACGGAACGAGGATGCTAGGTAATGAGGATCGAGCTTGGGTGGAATTAGGTCATCTGCATACTTCTTGTTGGCTAATAGGTCCATATGAACTTGAGTAGGAACAACCTGTACTGGAAGCCATGGGTTTTCACTTGATGAAGGGCCAGGTGTCTCTCGAAATTGCCATCCATGGCTTAAGTCATGTCGAGAGCGAGCCATTGCGCCGTGTTCCTATGTGTTTACAAGCAGGTTGTGATGAACTAGGACAACGCAATATAACGTGTGTGTCTTTTCTGTGGCTTTGGGGAGAAAGGCATATTGGAGACCGGAGGTGAAAATTCAAAGGCCACTCAAACTTTGATTCCGCCAATACCAACAATCTTGGAGGAGGGGCAGGAACGCGAAGAGGGGTAGTCGTGGAACAGCAAACAGCAGGTCCAATTTAGGCAAGGAGGTACACTTGACGTTTCATTCGATGCGTAAGAGGTAAGCACATGATGTAGAATCCCATGTCTATATCTGTTTATATACGTAGTTGAAAGGGGGTTGGAAGATATACTGAGATACTGCGTGACTTATAGGTAGGTATTTTTAAATAGGTACACAAAGCTCTCTGTTAGTGTATCTCCGGCACGGAACGGCGTTGAGTGCAAGCGGGTGCCTCTCAAATGGTTTACATCGATGAAACGCGATAGTCGGCGCATCTAGGACAATGATGAACAAGAGCTTTGACATGACGAGTTATCATCTCCATATTATTGCGGAAGGAGGTTCAATTCATGTCTTAAGCTGGAGACACCGTCTTAAAATGTCGAGCTGCCGCTGTTGGCGACATCTCGGTACGCAATACAGCGAGACCTCTATCTCCAATCTTGACCTTGAACCGAGGCTGGAATTAGCCAGATTCAACTATCTACATACTGTACTTAGCGCGTCAGAGACATCAAGTGAACTTCAGAAACGCACGACATGGCCTGTTGAAGAGTGCACGGTGTAGTTAGACAGCCTAGATGTAGGACTAAGTTGGATGCGCATTATGCCTAGTGGATTAACCTGCTACCTACCTAGTTAATGTTCATTGGTTTCGAGGGATGATGCATCGTGAGATTCCCGCCCTTTCCTGATCAAGCATCCCCCACATCCATCCCTTTTTGCGGGTAGGGCTGATCTTTGGTTATTCTTCCAGCCATGTCATACCGGCCATTGTCATACGCATACCGTAGTTCTTAGTTCTTATGTGCAGAACGATGCACGAATAGAAATGTATTGATACTTGATTTCTAGTCCTATGTGGCTTCCAACACCATTGCCGAGCAAGCCGCTCAATCTGACCTGCGTCCGCCACGATGACCCCGCTACTAGCCTTAGACCCGAATGATTCAGAATGAATAGATAGATGTGTTGCGAAGGATTCTACAACTGAAAAGGAGCATACCCTGGATCGAATGTTAATGATATAAAGAAGACGCACGCAGTTACAGACATCCCACGCTGCATAATCAAAAGCGTTCATCATCTAGGCACATCACTCGTCATGTCCCATCTTCGAGCAATGGAGTACCTCAACTCCCCCGCTTTCTCTTCGCGCGTCGAGGAGCTTATAAAGAAGCATCATATACCCGGGCTCTCAGTGGCGTTCGTAGAAGGTGACCGTACTTTCTCCGCAGCATACGGTTTAGCAACGCTCGACCCGCCTAAGCCATGTACACCAGACACCCTCTTCGACATAGCGTCCAGTTCAAAGTCGATGACGGCTGCAGCGGTTGGTTTACTAGTTCGCGACGATGAAAAATACCCCGAGGTGAAATGGGAGGCGAAGATGTCGAGTCTCCTGCCTGGGGATTTCATCATGTCGAAGCAGGAGTATACGGATGATATCACCGTCGACGACATCCTCAGCCATCGGACAGGTCTACCACGGTGAGTAAAGAATCTGTAAACGATAACCCGGGAAGAGAATATTTTCAGCTAAACCTTCTAGTCACGATGATTCCTACCTGGGCCCGCTAGCAGCAAAGCCAGATGACGCGCGATCTGTGACCAGGAATCTGCGGAACTTGGAAGTCACGGCGCCGATACGGTCAAAGTTCATGTACTGCAACATAATGTTCACGGTGGCGACGTACCTCGTTGAGCAGAAAAGCGGGCTCGCTTTCGCGGATTTCCTTCAGGAGCACTTCTTCAAGCCTCTCGAGATGCACTCAACTCAACTCCAGCCAGCGCGGGCGAAGTCCTTTGGTCTCGGCGACCGCATTTCCACGGGGTATCACTGGGACGAGAAGAGCGAGCGCTACATCGGTTTCGACGTGTGGGATAGCCCCGAAGATCAAGGCGCGGGCTCAATCATCACAAGCGCAAGTGACTATCTCAAATGGGTTAAGGCCCTGATGAATCAGGACCATCCTATCGATGAAGAGATCTACAAGGGACTCATCAGGATGCGGTCTTTCACAGAACCGGATCCAGAGGACGGGTTGCCGCTGACATCGCCGGAAATGTACGCTGCCGGGCTGGAGGTATTCTACTACAGAGGCCATATGGTGATCAGCCACGATGGCGGCATACCTGGTTACGGCAGTAGACACTTCTTCGTCCCATCGCTCAAGCTTGGTGGTGTTATCCTAGGTAATACGGACGCCACGGGCACCCTAGGGACGATCCTAGCATACGAATTGATCGACGAGGCTCTGGGTGTGCCGAGCCCGGAGAGAATGGATTGGAATAAAGTGCTGGAGGAGAGAAACGCCAAGTACGAGAATGATCCCAAGGAGGAGGAGCTGCGACGTGTCCTTCGTGAAGACGCGGAGGCGCAGAAGATGCCGCTCAGTATCTACACTGGCACGTATTGGAACCCAGGGTATAAAGGCATGACTGTGGAAATTAAGGATGGGAAACTCTACATCGATGCGAGTGATCGATCGATCGGGTTCTTCATAGTTCTCGACCATGTGCGCGGAGAGACTGAATATCTTGGCCATGTGAGCAACTGGCTTAGTCGCAGCGAATACGATCTGTGGCCGGCGAGGTTTTTGTTCCACAATGATAAACCTGTCAAGTTTGGATTGGAGCTTGAGAAAGAAGCAGAGATGATCTGGTTTGATAGAATAGAATGAGCCTAATGATCAGTTCACTTGTCAGTTATGATTTTACTGGTCGCATAAGTTAGCTAGAAGGTTTGGCACTTCCGAATCTTGAGCTGTCTGCCTTCCAAGGTCTTCAATATGAGAGATTAGTACTTCTCGCTTTCTCTTAGTATTAATCATGTATATACATTATATATAGCATTGATAATAGCTCTGTTGCGGAGGCCTTGCTTTATGTGTTGAATTCACATTGAAGACCTTGGAATAGCTACCATTACAATGAACTACGGTAAGCATCTGCCCCTCAACACGCCACCATTCTAAGCAGTGCAAAACAATCAAAATATACCAGTCACTCACTACCAAGAAAATTGAAAATAATCAATAGATCAATAGAAAAAAAATGATAAAAATTGCAAAAGGATTATTCGTGACCTCGCTGGGGGTCGAACCCAGAATCTCCTGATTGCGCGTGTGAACTTGTTTGCTCAAGTTCTGATCGTAGTCAGACGCCTTGCCATTGGGCCACGAAGCCAGATGGTTCTCTTGAACTGTTATTGGAACGACGGCGCATTATCTTCATATAACATATTGATCCATAGGATGGAAATCAATCTTGGTGCTTCCTGGTTCGATATAATTTAATCGCTATGAGAAAACAGCCCCAGATTGTTCGATGATTAATTAAGGTTTAAAACAAGGTATTTATAAACATTCCTTGAACGTTTACTAAATGCTTACTCCGGCCTGTCAAGGGAGAAGCAAGTAGTCATGTCCTCTACAAGTCGTACAGCACACAAGGGCTTCAGCCGTAAGTGGCTATTCATCCAGTGAAAGTCACGCTTTCAACTTATGATTCAAGTCACAGGAAGAATGAGAAGAAGTGGTTATTGTGCTAGAAGTACGCACATATGAGATTGTATTATTACTGAAAACACACTCTGGTTAAGGCCTCTGCAGATCCCCCAGGCCTATACATTCATTCCTTTTGATCATTGCTCATTTTCCGCGTAGCTACTTAATAGCCATCGTCGTTTCTTATGAAATCGTGCTAATAAAATTTTATACCTCTTTGTCAACGAGGCTCCTCGAATTTTGGGCTTAGTCTCTGCCCCTCGGTTTAGCGAATATCTCTCATTTGTCGTAAGAAGACATTTTCATCTTCATCCATCGCTCAATAAGTAGGTCAGCAAAGGCCGAGATTTATCGCCGATTACATTCATTAGAATCAGAAAAGAAGCGACTCGTCGGCTTTTGCTGTTGGTAATTGAGCATTCTCATCTGGTTGCCCATTAACTTCGTGACCATTTCCAAGTCGCTCGTCTGTGTCCAACTAGGAAAAGTCCCAAGGGTCAACTCCAGGGGCCTGGTTCACAAGACTGCCCGAGTTGGATGGTGTAATGGTACCGGGACTAGTGGCTGCATTATCTATGTCGAATGAATCAGTGTGACCCGCGTCGCGTATATAATGATTCATGTCAAGATCCATCGAATGTGCGCGCCCTGGTATTTTGCATTTAATTTTGCCGCCGCGATATTGGCATTCCATGTTCTGGCAGATATGACCAAGAACACATTGGGCGTTCCTACAAGCGCCCCGCTTCGTACAAGGTAGGGAACGCGATAACCACTCTAGTGCTGGCAGTAAGTCCTCAGGTATTTGCTCGTGTTCGTATTCACAGTTCTCGTTAGGGCACGAATTCGTCAGTTGTTGTTTGTTGCAGAGCTTTCTTACACTAGATAGCTCTCTTAGCTTAGAAGAAGCAGCTGAACTAGGGGGTGGTATGTATGCATCTAGTCGATGTAAATCTCTATTCACGGCTACGCAGCCGTCTGGTATTTCACTCTTCTTCGGTAGTTGATGGGTAGGATCGCTTCTCAATTGCGACATTGGGCCTGATGGTGTATCGTATAGTGATGTGTCATAACGTGGTGCCGTCGGTGAGGGTTTCCCCCGACCCAAACTGCCCAGGATATCGACGTCGAAGCTGTTCGGGTGGCCCATTTGGGAGAGATAGGAAGATTTGGTTGAATTGGCCGAAGTGTATCCTCTGGGATCAATATGTGCATTTTTGCAATCTCCTCCATATCGACACTTGCCAGACTGATAGAATTGACATATCTTTGGGGGTTCCCAATGACTGGTAGCCTGATATGCTGTACTGGTAGCTGAAGAAGGTCCACTGGGAGGGGTGTTCTTAATCGAGTCAACGGTTGAATTAGGTATTGGGTTGTACGATAGGGGTCCTTCAAGAGGTACTGCACGAAAGACACCAGGTAATTCCTCAATTCCAAGGTCAAGCTTGGTGAACTGCTCGTGAAAAAGGAGTCCAGATGATCGAACAAGTGTAACTCTACTATGGTCCCCTCTAAATCTAGTCACATCTGAAATATAACCGACATCGTGACATGCAGCAAAATAGATGTGCTTGCACTGATGATTGTCGGCGTATAAATTTAAGAGAGCGCGTATCTTGAAGTCGGCATTCTCCTTGAGCTCGCCGGCATCGACAAAGTCAGTAAGCCCATATGATCTGTTGAAATTGGCAAGAAAGGGAGCAAGAGAGCGCTTATCCGGCGTTGCGAGGTGGTGCTTGGAGAGAGTCCGGGATAAGTTGGCGACATTAGCATAGACGCGGATCATGATGTCGCAATGTTCAAGGCCTTTCCCTTGCAGGCTTTTCTTAAGTACATTATTGAGGTGTTGGGCTGCCTTTGAGCCACCTTCAGCTCCCTGTTGTAGAAACTCATCTCTGAAAATGTATCCATCGCCGTCGACAACAACCAGCACGAAGGGTCTTCGTTCTTGGTTGCGTGCAAGCTGCTTATAGCGCTCTCGGCTGGCCTTTTCTTCTTCATAGTCACTCTTCAGCTGTTTGTAGCTAGTCAGGAGATCCGCGTAGCGCTGTAGGAAATCCTCCTCGGCACTCCTGGCGCGGAATGCTGCAAGCTTGTCGACGGCATCGTCGATCTCTTTGTCGGTCAGTAGTCCCGACATTGCACAGACCAAGAAGCGCCAACAGGCAGGGTTTGGGCAGCGGGGTGAGTGAGGGTAAAGACTGGACTGGGAAATGAAGAATAATGAAGGGTGTGCAAGTAGCACGGGAATGCCCGAGAGAGAACCGAGCTGCCCTGCAGCCTGACTACCGACCAGTGCACGCAGGTTGCTCTCACAGCTACTACACTGATATGATGAATCTAGGCTAGGCAATAGACGTGGAAAGGAGGAGCAGAGAGGAGGTGGAAGATAGAGCTCGGTTGCTGATCACCATGAGGTCTTAAACAGCCAAACATAAGCCTGATGGCAGTGGTGAAGTCCCACGGAGAGAAGAAATGTAGAAAACCTCCAATGGTTGTTGTGGGTGGGCCTCAGGCACCTAATACAGGTAGTATCTAGATGCTTCGCTAATGAAGGCAAAGGCGGTCTAGGCGCTACCAGCATAGGTAACCGACCGCCTGTAAGGGACCGATTTACAGCGTTTGAATACGTGCCTAGGAAAGCCTGTATTTAAGCATAGGTAGCTAAGTTGCTGCTTGAATTAGCGGTGTGCAAGGGCTGTTCACAGCTAATGGCCAGGTAAGAAGAGAGAACAAAGAACTTCATTCTCGTGATTCACCAGAGAAACTGTCACAGAATGATATATCATCATCTTCAAAGAACATCAGAATCACTTCAGCTAGAGCAGTGATTCCGTGAACAACTTGTCGTATCCTGGGACTTGTATAAATCAGACGCTTCACCTTTCAGCCGACCGCTTCATTCACTCATGTCTGTGACAGCACAACATCTGTTAAGGGCGCAATCAATTGCTTCAATTCATTCCAAACGAAAGACAAAAAGGACAAAATACAATTATTCCTACACCATTACTCTCCCATTACTCGGATCCTCCCCTACTGTCCTCCCAGAATACTAACAAAGAACAAGACGCTACTGGTAATACATGATATAGAATCTGTCTGAAAACGCTATGCGCCCGCGACCCATTCACTATCCATTGCTGAAGGTGCAAGTCCTATACCAGCAATCCATCAAAATGATGCCCTTGAAGAGGTTCAAGGCGTGACGTTCGGTACCATGGCGAGGAAGGGAAGGTCCTTACAGTGTAATATCTTTTTGATCTTTTGGAGTACCTTGTTATCGAACAGCCGGACACGGCCCAAGTCCATTTCCGTTGCCCAGCGCGTCACTGAATATCGGTCCTCTCCGATAACTATAGGTGTATCGCTGTACTTAGCCCTGAACGTCAGGATGAGGGCTTTGTTTCGCGTCCCATTATACTCGACATTCATGACATGCTTATGGATCTTCGACTTGAACTTTGTAATCCTTAAACCACTGTCACCCATTGAATTAGCCTGTGACTGTTGTGCAAGGGGAGAGTCGGGCAGGAAGAGTACATACAGCGTATTATGGACCTCATTCTTGAGTGCGTCCAAAATTTTCTCATCAGGTAAGCATACTGTACCCGGGAGGAGCCAACCGGGCCCATGGCCCATCTCGAGGCCGCAAGGAGGAGTGGCAGGAGGAGTGGCAGCACTTAGGGAGGCATTAAACACCGCATCGGGTAATTTAACAAGCAGAGCGGCATGCTGCTTCCCAGGCATGATTTTAGTCAGGACGACATTGACGTAGACAAATTGTTCGTCTCTATTTTTCAGTATTTCTCGGGCCAGCTTTTGGTACTTTTTAACCGTCCAGGAGCATTCGAAATCCATTTTTTCGGGAGTTGGTATGGCTTATGAAATGTCAGAGATCGACTTTACGGTGAGGATGTCGGAACTTACTCTAGAATAGGTGTACTGTAAAGGTGGGTTTTCTGGTAGGACGATGAAACTGCTCAATGCACACAAAAAATCTGATGTTCGATGTATTCTCTGTTGTCCAACGAATGATTATCGGGTTTAATAACGTCTGGATCTATTGATGAGTAGAAGATGGCAGTATTGGGACAAGGGAGGATTGGTGGGATATCAATTCTCTTCTGTCTGTATCCCGGATGTTAAGAGAAAATGGATATTACACTCTGTAGCAGGAAGTGGCCGTGAAGCAACGAAGACAATACAGAAGGAAAGACCAACAGCCAGGAGGGAACGGGTTGCAATAAAGATAGGCGTCAGAACCACCGGCGCTTGCTTCCAGTTTACCTGGTAGTCAGATGTGAGAAGCCTCAACGCAACTGGATGCAATAATTTTGGGTTTCGATATAGGTTAAGAACGAGTTGGGAAAGGGCCTTCGGCAGCAGTCAAAGAAGAGATCTTGCCCACGGGATTACGAAAAGCAGGCGCGAGCCTCACGCCAAATGAGATACTTTTGGAACAATACTGATGTCGTCTACGGGGGCAAAGTGAGGTTTTGTCGCCTTATATATGGCATAAAGAAGTGAAGTGCGCCGGGTTGAAGACGATTTCCCCGATGATGGTATGGTATATATCGACTGTCTGCAATTCTATTTCCAATGAATAAAAAAAATCTGAGGAAGTCCAAATCCAGCTCCTATCTAAAGTAAAAATTGCCATCTTCAAACTATAAGTCGCGTCATTCTTGTCCATTATCTTCCTTATCACTCTCTGTATGCCTCATAGCCTTTTCCTTCCACGCAGAGCTGTCTTCGACTTGGTCTAGGAAGCTTCTAGCGGCATGGACACCGATCTCGTAGATGGCACGTGGACTAACGGTGAATTCGGTATAGAACAGATAGTTATCAGGATCCTGGCATACGACTCTTTTCCCCTCACCATAAACGATGTCACCTTCATCAGTGATCCTCTCACCTGCGACCTTTATAACACAAGGCATTGATATGTCAAGGAACCCATCCTCAGGTGGCCGTGCACCAAGCCCGTTATGATCTGAGAGCTCGGCATTCCGCAGCTGGCGGTCGACCATCAGTCCCCGGAGGTAGCCAGGCATGCCGTATGATGCGAGTCGACGGCGCGGCAGCGAAATCGCGTCGTCAAGCTCCCCTTTATTGCGCCAACCTAAGTGATCGTGTTTCTCCTTCTCCCTCGTAAGATCTCCCACAGATGTTAGTGAATGTTTGCCGGCGAGGGCTTCGACGACTTTAATGTCAATCTTGTCGGTAGTGGACCAATACTCTGGATCCGAGGTAGTAAGCCAATCGTTGACGGCTAGGTCGAGTACATAGTTCCAATATCTCGTCAAGAATGCTGCGCTGCGCAATTGACTGGAACTAGAGTGTGGTCTGGGTGGAATTGGACGGGCGCTTGCAAATCCAGGTGTTAAAGATATATCGAATAACCGGGTGAGAAATATGCGGAAAGGTGGGCGTGTGGCTCGACCAGTTCTAATTCCTGGGTGAGGTTCCGGGGATGCAGCTAATTCTTGGTCTCGCATCGCTCGATATAGTCTTTCGATTTGAAAGAACAGATCTTGAATACTCGAATCAATCACCTCAGTCGCAAGTTTGCGTGGCAAAGCTGCGAGGTACCAGATGTCCCAATAACCAACATTGAACACCCAAAGGGATTCTACGGTGTTTCGCTGTAATAGAGGGGACGAGAGGAAGGAATTGATCTGAGTAGCCAAATCAGATTGATGGGGCTTTGGATATTGCTCTGTTGCCCAAGAGTAGTCAAGTTTAACTACTCCATCGTCTTTATTCTTATGGACAGTAGCGCGAGATACACGTTTGTATGCAGCATCAAGGAAGTCATTAGACACAACAGGGCCACCGCCGCCGTCCGTTAATGGAACGAAAGAGACATAGGTATCGCATCCAAGCTACGACATTGTTAGCATCACTGGCATGAAGCATCAGTTGGATGTTACCTTTCGACACATTATTTCTGGCCAAGCGTACGCCTTGTTGCTCCACTCACTGGCTGAAAGGGCCGACGTAGCGATGTCGCCTCCACCAAAAACCACCATTCTCAACCCATCAGTCGTGTGACCCTGCGTCGTATTACTGCCCGCATTCGAGTTTGAGTTCGAGTTCGTGTCCACGAGCAAGGTTGAGGCCGAGGTCGTGGATGCAGCTGTTCGGGACATGGTATTTATCAACCTTAACGAATGCCATGAATAGACTATAGGCACTAGAAGCGCGATGCCAAGCGCCACTTTGAGAGGAAGTGTAGGCTCTCGAAATAGCTTCAAGGAACAGACACCCCTCAGTGCCCCTAAGGTCCTCCCATTCCATACCCGAGCAAATTTGGAGATATCTGAGTGCTTCTTCTCGATAGTTTCGTGAACGATAGGAGGCAACATGAGGCGCGAATCCAGCCAGCTCTTCTCCTCTATAGTCGTAGTACCATTGGAAGGCATAACGACGCTAAAGTCCGGAATTTGACCGGTCAATGCCCATCAGCCTCGGCTGTAAATACTCGACAACAATGTTCCACGATAGGACCGAAGGTAACGACAGACTGGGCGATCCTAAGCAAACGAGGTGAGACCGTTGCCTTTGGCCTTTCTAGTAATATTGATTAGTTACATGCAGCGATAAAGTCCAATTCTCAAGCATCATTAGGGTCCTGGGGGCATTTGGAGGTGCGATCATTCTTATTTTCAAGTACTGCTGAAGTTGCCTGTCGTGGTAAACTCTAAAGATGGCTGATTACGAGTGCACTAGTCTGCGCTGCATGTCTTTCCATGTACCACATCGCACTATGCACCTCACCCCAACAGGACGGAATCCGATCTCTTCACGTAATCACGACACAGTCATGGTTAAATTTTGAGGAATTTAGGAAATTTTTAGTATAGGTAATGGGAATGTTCGAATATAACGAACGAATTAGTGCTAAGTTAACTGTGGGCTATGCATTGTTTGAGACTCCGTGTGGTAACAACAGACAGCTAGTCGATGGCTTTCGTATCTTAATCGTAGAACTTCCTGGGCCAAATATTCATAGCCGTCTTCAGTCCCTCAGTGACGGTTAATCCTGCGTGAATAGTTCGGTCATCGCCTGTCCCATTGGCATGTAGATTGACCCAGAAGATCGCGTTTCCAGCGACAGGCTTAAAAGCAAGTCCACCCTCCTCATGTGCTCGCCAGAGATGATGAGCGTCGTCTTTACGTGAGTGGGTGTTGTCAATATACGGAAACCACGTCTCTCCACCCTTGCAATGATCCTCAAGAATAGCGAAGAAGCTTGCAGCACGATTCCACGTCCTACCGTGTCCTCGCATTCCTCGGCGTGTTGGTTGAGGAGTATCATACCAGTCATGATGCTTGTTGAAGAGCTGCCCAGCCCTATAACGCACGAGCTGTGGGGGACCAACTATAGCCGGAGTCAGTTGTGTTGGTTCCTAGCATGATACATGAACTTCTGTCCTAAATTTACTTCCAAAAACTCTCAAAATACGAAAATTCTTTAAAAGTGGCTTACTATCATCCTTATTTGGATCCATCATGCTCCCCATGAAACCTTGCGCGCGCGATAACACGCAATCTACAGTCGGATTGTCGCGTGGTAAACCTGCTGACGACGAAGTCCGATCAGACGTTCCAGTCAATCTGCCATTTTTGAACACCGTCGAGGGCGAAAACCCACTCTCGCCGGCTTCGAGGAGTTCTGTTATCTCGGATGGACGTAGGAAATTCTCGATATAGATTAGTAGTGGGTCTAGTGAAACGAGCTCGGTCGAATAGTGATGAGGCCGACATTCATATTCGGGATAAGGCACCCGCCCATTGTCAGGGGCCGACGGCCGAAGAGCATGCGGTAAATATGGCGAGAGGTAAGGAGATGTAAGATTCCATAGCCAAGGAGATATGAATGCGAACAAGGCGATCTTGGCTACCGCCGAGATACTTGGCGGACGTGAAAGCCGGGAACGTGGAGAAAACCGGGGCATGCCGAGCCGGTGAGTTTCAAAGATATGCGTTGTAGTATTAATCGGGGCGGTTGACGACGATGACACGGCACGTTTCGCAATTTCGCCCGCGTTTATAAGGCGTTCGCCATTCCACAGAGGAAATGGTGTATCGTGAATAATTTTACGGAGGCGACCGTGCAGCTGCTGGGACATAGGAAGTAAATGTGTCATGTTTGTTCGGAGCTACTGCTTCCGCTTGCTAGGACGACTTGAATTTGCCTGGAATCCTGATGCGACGTTGCGACGAAGCCAATAAACTGCCACTGCCACTGCCAACCAGTACGAAAGCTTGAGTTTTCTTGGATCAAAAGACTGACTTGCCTAAAATCGGGATTGACGTCCATAGTAAAGGCCCCAAGAAGCTCCAACAATCGATCGCAACACCTTCCTCACAGAGTTCACAATTAATAATGCTAGATTGTTACACTCTTCCTAAACTTGTACCATAATCTTAACATCCATAACTGTGGCTCTCGCCATCTTCTTCAATAGTGTTCGATCATCCGCTTCACGGTATCTTTCCCATCCATCTAATCCTTCTTTCGTCTGAATACTCAGGGTCTCGTAGCCTTGCTTGATTACATCCGCTACTTCCGTACTTGTAAGATTCTTCTTCGGGCCACCTGACTCCAGCAAGATCTTGTAATGCGCTGTAACGTTGACGAGCGTATCTATTGAATTGGAGGGCCTTTTTGAAAGGTTGTATGTATCACGAAACTTCACCAAAACTTCGCCGCTTTCTACAACCTTGTAGAACAGATCATCGTATGCGGCTGGAGTTGGAAGGAAGGCCTCACCAGCAGACAATGATAAGGCTAGGAGATTAACGACGAGATCTAGTAAGGTCTCAAAATGCGGCAAGCTCTTTAGGTCAGAGGCATATGTAGTCAGGAAACGGACTAATGCGAGAAGAGAGCGAAACAATTCGGACCAATGGTACTGTATACGCGTTCGAGAACGCGATAGATAGGATACGATTCGTAATGTGATGCCCACGCACAGCGTATAAAGGCTCACATCCAACCTTCGGCGAAGGTTATGATTAATGCCATCAATCATAGTGTCCAGCACACTTGTGGCGAGAATACGTTCTCCCTTGACGATTGGAAGATATGGCTGCCGTTGACGACAGAGCCGTACAGTAGCTTTGCTCTCTTCGCTACAGATACGTTTGCATAAAACTTGGTCCTCGATAAGCAATCGAAATACCATAAGACTGAGATGGGCATAGTTTGTAGCCCTGTTCGAAAGAAATGCATGTTGAAGGAGGTAGGATGTCAGCGAAAGTAAGCTGGATATGGGCTGCTCTTCGCCTTTGTCAGCAGACATTGTGACCAAGTTGAAGCAAAAGAGCTTGTTAGCATGACTAAAATCGTATAGGCCAAGTAGCACAGCAGCTTCTTCGCCGGGTCTGATATAGGTTAGCAATTGCAACACGCTTGGGCATGAAATACTGACAATTTAGCGAACATCTGCTTTGCTGCTTCGGGATCATAGTTGGGTTTTTGGTTCGGCTTGGCGCCAGGAGTAATTTTGCCTAGGCCTATCATGCTGAGTGTATTTGACAACGACCACCCCTCAGGCAGATCCTCAAGAATATCAATGTATTGGCCTCTCAAATCTTTGCAAGTATGCCCAACGCATCGAACAATCTTCTGTATGGCAGTCTCATTAACAAAGTCATTGAGTCTGAGCTGGTACGGATTTTGAAACTCGAATTTGTTGTAATTTGCGAGAAGTCCAAGCAAGGTAAAAGGCTCCAGAGCCATATCGGGGGAATCGGAGTCTTGAATAAACTACGTCATGTAAGTAAGTACTACACATGCAAAGACTTAATCGCACAAGATGCCTGACCTTCATGATAGCCGGGAAGAGATCTCTCTGAATGAAATATGTCAAGAGGCTGGTTTGGTAAGCGCCGGATGTAATAGACAACATAACCTCAACGGCGCGTTGCCGAATCTCGACTACAGAACCACACCATTAGCAACAGCCTAGATTGCAAAATCCGAAAGACGTACGCGTATTCCCATTGCGAATGATGCTGTCCAGAGCGCCAACAAAATCCGTAAAGATCGTATCAACATGATCGAGCCCGGCTAGTACCGCTATTATATCCGAGCTAGGATTCGTATACTTCTTGGAGAGAGTGGCAGAGAAGAAAGTCGTAAGGGTCTGTGCCACAGCTGTTAGGATCTGTATTTCCCAGTTGGCCATGGTACCATTCTCCCACCTCTAATGCATGTAAAACGGCGATACTGTTCCCTTTCTTCAGGCACGCTACAGCGCGGAAGAAGAGCTGACGTGTCTGGGGCTGAAGATGTATTAAATCGTCGGGGCTGAATTCGGCAAGTATCTTCAGCAATGATGCTCGGTCGGGCTTCAAAAGAAAGAACTCGCGCCAGAAACCTTCAGGTTTCTCGCTGTCGGCATCGACGTCATCCTAGTTGTTGACAGGGAATCAGCATCCCCTATGACGAGGGCAAGTCTAACACTAACATACCTTGCGATTGTATCGTTAGCCTTCAACTGTCTCCAATATCTCACATAGGGGAAGTGAACTCCCGAACCTGGAACAAAGCCTCGTATAGCTTCACAATCTTCTGTTGGAATATTTCAGGGCGTGCCTGCTGGGTCAAAGGAGAGGCTTCCATAGTCAGACGGGAAGAGACGGGAGACAGCCGGGATCGAAAGGGTCATCCTGTCATGATATGACGGCGTACTACAGGATGCCAGATTAACTTGGCGCCGCGCCTTGTTCAAAGGAGCACTGTCGCAATGATTAGATAGGTGTAGGTAGAGCACTATTCCTGTGTGTAAGAGCTAGAGAGCGGAACCATGGCCGAAGGTGCTGGCGCATATACAGTGTATTATACAGTTATTAGACTGTATTAGCACTATACCACATTCATAGATAAAGCGGGTAGCCGTTATCGAGAGAACCTACCCGAGAGGCTGCCTTCCCAAGTACCGATTCTGGCCCACTGCCGCCTAGCCGAGCAGAGGTTGACCAATATGGCGGTTCTGATTGGCTCTCGGCCAGAATCGGGGCTCTTTTTGCAGCTTCGATGTCATAAGATGCCGGGTTGCTTTGAAAGCAACATCGGACCATTCTTTGCCATCGGCCTAACAATTGGTCGCCTTCTACCAACATGCGTCCCTAATCATCCTTGCCTCAATCCAAATTTCATTGCCCATACCAATAAACTAGTATCCTCTCCTATTGTTCAGTTGTTGCCATTGCCTTTTGAGGGGCTGTCTTTGCGCCATTTACGACTTTCTCATCCTTCGCGACCAACCCGCATGCTATAGCCTTGGTCTATAAGAGTCACGATGAGTTCAACGAGAGTGACGCTTCAGAGGACGCCTGGCGTTCTGCTTAGCTGCTTGAACGCCACCACGATATCCTCTCCACGACCATGTCTGCACATCCTACGCCGATTTTCGCAAACTCAATCATGGGCGACCGCGGAGAAACACCAATCCTCCGCACCTTTCCAGTCATATCCTCTGCCCTCAAGGTTACCCTCGTCACCCCGCAATGAGCCGATACCCGAGACCTCTATTGCAAACCCAGTACCCTTTGTCCATGAAACACGACCACCAGCTCAGCCTAAAGCACCGTCACAACCAGATATAGCGTCAGAACAAGAAGCACAAAAGCCCAAACCTGTACCGCCCAAGCGCAAGTTCAAGCCACGCAAAGCTGCACTAAAGCTTACCTCTACGGCCGTTGATCAACTACGTCAGCTTCTGGATCAACCAGAACCCAAATTAATAAAGGTTGGCGTGCGCAACCGGGGCTGCAGTGGTTTAGCATATCACCTGGAGTACATCGACAAGCCCGCATCATTTGATGAAGTGGTAGAGCAAGATGGCGTCAAGGTTGTGATTGATAGCAAAGCCCTGTTCAGCATTATTGGTAGTGAGATGGACTGGATAGAAGATAAGCTTAACGAGCGATTCATATTCCGGAACCCTAACATCAGTAAGTCACCCTCCATGGGACGAAGTCACAGTCCACAGCTCTAACATTGCTATAGAGGAAGAATGTGGTTGTGGTGAATCCTTTATGGTATGATGGACTACACAAATTGTTCAGTAAGTCAAAGGGGTGGTTGTATACTCTTATGCATCAGGGCGGCGTTGGGCGGGTTAGACCTGAACATACTTCTTTTTTGCCTACGCTGGCGTTGCCGTATCGAGCACTATGGATAACGAGAGAGCGAAATCATGCTTGATTAATAGTACATAGAATAGCTATTTTCTGGTTATAGAATAGCAGAGAGATGGGTCCCCGAGGGCCTCTACTCGAGCTTAGTTGATGGAATATCTCCATCGCACTATTGCTGTCCTAATACATTCTTTGAATGGAAGGAAGGGCATATGATGTACATGACAAAGAAATCGATACCCATTCAATCAACAGTCCACTAATCTTGAGTTGGGATCTGTTTAGAACCACAGCTGAACAGATCTCCTTTCGTGCTGTGACTTTTCTCTTGATCATACCCATAGCGTCTCTTAGTCGAGACCTATAACAGAAACTCAGTGATAGGGCAGAGGCGGAAAGTCCTTGGCATCAGCGGGGTGAAGATACTGAGCAGCCACTGCGAAACAGACTGCACCCACGACTGCAGCCGTAATGCTGATAATACCCGATCGGTCCATAGCAATTTTTCTCAGTGCAGCGCAGCAAGATAGGTATACAGACAAGGAATGTCCAGATTTCTCGGGACGATAACAAAAGGCTGGTTCTCATGTTCCGCTAGGACCCTGGTTCAAGGACGTGTTGCTTCGTGCTTCAATTCACCCCAATACAAAGATAGTAAAAGGAAAAGATAAATTGGTTATAAATGTCATATCATGTCGTCTATACCCTATACCTATATATAAATTTAACATGCACGTACCCTTCACCCACCAGCCTGCGCAGCTAAATGACAACACAGCCACGGACAAGCACGACGTCGTGATTAATGCTGATGTCTTACATAACCACCAGGTGCTTGGAATGTGATCCAATGTATCAGTGGCGGTTTTGCGTCTGTATGTATGTAGGTATCCAGCCACACGGCATAAACATGCTTTGCAAAGCCATTTGTTCCTGATACTTTTTGATCTAAACCGGCTAAGGGAGTCTCAATTCCCAATTAGGAAGTATCTTTCGCTGTCTGACCAATTAGATAAAATGGCCAAGTGACTTGTCTGCCAGCAACGCTGTTCCTGTCTGTAGAGAACTTTGTCTCATGTCTATCTCATCTGTCCATACAACTCTTTTCTCCTTAGAAATCCTCATCATGTCTCCTCTAAGTCCTGCAAAAGGTTAGTTGAGGGTGATAGATGAACTTAAGCAGCATGTTTAGAGTCGAGGTCTTGGTACCTCATTACATCGTATTACTCAAGTAGGTAATCAGCAAGGAGCCATTGTTAAAGTGATTATCATTTATATAAGTTGTATCAACAGTACGCACTCAAGCCTTCCAATATCACACGCCAATTCCTTCCCGGGGCTTGTCCGCGTGATTCCTTTTTCCTAGGTATCCTTTTCCATCTTTTATACAATGCCTACCCAGTCCTACCAATCAAAGAGTATCCATGTGCAATAACCACCAGATCAAGCATCTTCCATAGCCAAGTCAGGGTCTATCTCAGTTCCCAAGTCGCGCTCCTCGAGGAATTTGCGGCCAAGCAGGTCATCAGGGAGATAGTCTTGTTTGACTTTCCCATCTTTATAGTTGGGATTGTATTTATATTCTTTCCCGTATCCAAGCTCGCGCATCAGGCGTGTCGGCGCGTTGCGTAGGTGGATGGGGATGGGTAAGGCAGCAACGCCGGGCTCGCGCAATGCTGCGAACGCGTTGTTCAGGCCGCGATATGCCCGCGTGCTCTTGGGTGCCATGGACAGAGCGACGGCACAGTGTGCTAGTGGTATACGCGCTTCTGGCATACCAATCTGTTGGGTGGCCGTGAATGTCGAGGTCGCTAAGCTCAGCAGGGAGTTATCCGCCAGCCCGACATCTTCTGAGGCGATGACCACCATTCGGCGCGCAATAAACAGGGGATCTTCGCCCGATTGCAGCATTCGCGCCAAGTAGTATAATGAGGCGTCAGGATCAGACCCGCGAACAGACTTGTGAAATGCAGATATTGTATCGTAATGTTGGTCGCCTGCCCTGTCGTAGACTAAGGTCTTTGTCAAGGAAGCTTTCATATCCTCTTTCGTGACCTCTCCCCGATTAGCAAGCGATATAGCAAGTTCCAACAGGTTGAGGGCTGTGCGAGCGTCGCCATCTGCGAAGTTGGCGAGGTAGGCGAGAAACTCCTCGTCGAGGGGTGGAGGTGGTGTCGATGAAGCATACGGAAGCTCGGATTGAAGCGCCCGCGTTAAAATCCGTTGTATGTCCTCTGTAGTCAACTTCTGTAAGGTGAAGGTACGACACCTCGACAGGAGCGCATTCACGACTTTAAAACTAGGGTTTTCAGTTGTTGCGCCGATCAGGGTTATAGTGCCAGCTTCGACGGGCTTGAGAAAGACGTCTTGCTGTGATTTTGAAAAGCGGTGAATTTCGTCGCAGAATATTATCGTCTTGCGTCCTGTCAGCGCAAGTTCATTGGCGGCATCTGTGAACAACTTCTTGCACTCTGCGACGCCAGAACTTGTAGCGTTCATCTCGACGAAGCGTGATCCAGCCTGGTTTGCTATGCAGCGTGCTATCGTTGTTTTGCCCGTGCCTGACGCACCCCATAAAATCATCGACGGTAAACGATTTGTCTCAATGAGAGAGCGTAGTACTCCACTGGGACCGACAAGCTCCTGGCCGAATATGTCATCGAGGTTCTCTGGACGCATACGCTCGGCTAGTGGCGCAACACGATTTGTTTTAGTTTTAGCCCTCTTCGAAAGAGGACTTTGAGGTGTAGTTCCCGTATTATCTGAGTTGTTGCCGGCACTTGCATCGCCTTTAGCGCCGCCATCGGGAGAGTCATGGCCAGGGCCTTCGTCATAGGATCGTTTGACAGCAGGGTTCGATTTCAAAGTGCCCGGTGCACCATTGACTATAGGCGTTAGAACGCCATTCGGCGTCGCTTGTCGCTTCGAGGAAGGCGTCTGGAAGAACGTAGAGGCAGGGCGCTTCTGTGAGGCTGAAACGGAGGCATTCGCTTGGGTTGAAGCTGATATCCCAGGGCCCGGGGAGGAGGTGGGTGGGTTCTCGATGATGAAAGTCTGGCAACTTGAATCCAGATGATCGTTGATCTTAGATGACTGGACTTGCTTCGTACAGACAGGACATTCTACCATGGTGAAGGATTATGCGAAAGGGAAAGCAATGCAAGCGGTGCAGACGTGGCTCTAGTCAGCTAGCAAGAAGGAAAATGGGTTTCGTAATCAACGAAGCTTGACGATGTCTGCGCTCGGACATTTTCTTTCTGTCGACGCGGGTAACGCGCTGCAAGGGTAACTAGCTATTTAATGGATTAGTGGCCGTCTCACGGCCCCAACAGCTTGGTCATAGTGGGGTAGCTCTAAAGAGCGCCCATACCTTTCTATAGGGAGTTACCAGATGGCTTCGGTAGAAGCACGACATCTCATGTAATGTTCGTGAGTAAATCTAGGTAGATAGATGGAAAATAGCTGCTTGAATAAGAAAAATAAATATAGGTAAGCTCTAAATGTCTTAAGGCTATGACAAGGTTATAAACTTTGCATTTTCTTGGGTGCCAACCACTCACGATCCACCTATTTATTCTAGGGGGTCGGCTCTTTGAGTTCGATGACTTGGCTTTGAAATTCCATATTGTTTTCACTTACAAATAGAGAGTTCTACGACCATGGTGTCCCGAGTCTGCTGTATCTCTTGCCTTCCAAGTCAAGATCGGACCGAATCAAGTTATGTATTAATGCAAGTAATGACGTAACTCTTCATGAGGGTCACACCCTTTAGCTTTATTCTTATTCATGCTTAACTCATACAAAGAGCTCTATTCACTTTGAGTTATGGTAATTTTGTCTGAATACTGCTTTCAGGATTTTATAGAACATTATAGGTTTGGATCGAACTCTTCCAGTGCGATACCCCAGAGTTGGCATCATGTGCCAAGAAATCGGCGTATAACCGAAACATAACTTCATTTTCGCAAAACCCTTGAATCAACTCTGAAGGATCGTTAGTAATGTGTCAAGCTGTGTCTTGCCGAAGTCCAGTGGCGAGACAGGACAGGGCAATTCAATATCACTCTAAAGCGTGCCAATGCTATGAATGGCACGAGTATGTTTTGCTGTTCCAGAATCATTTATTCAACATTTCTTCGCTATACACGTTCTCACCTGCCTCTAGAGTGTTTTGACCTCTTAGAAGGCGGTTCAGGGGCAGCCTCAGCCTCACTATCATCTTCCTCGGATTCGAGATCATCATGATCAACCTCATCCTCATCTAACTCCTCCTCGGCATCAAGTTCTTCTTCGCTTTCAGATGCATTACTCTGTAGGTCGTCGTCTTCTGAGTCGTCATCCACCACGCCATTGGTAACCGGGAGCTCATCATCATCCACATCCATTAATCCGTTGACCATGTCAGCATCACTATCTTCTCCCTCAACATAGATGATTCCTTCATCATCTTGCACATCCTCGTCAACTTCTGAGTTCCATTGCTGTCGCCTTAACTTGAGTTGCGCGTTCATAAGATCTAGTTTCCCCTTCAAAGCTAGAAGCGAGTTCAAACCTCTTGCACGCTCATCTAGCACGCGCTGCAGCTCACTCAGCCTCTTCACAAGCCCAGGTTGTGCAGCTAAGGCGCCTCCATGACAGATGAGGGTGGACTGGACCCAAGTCATCAAGCTACCAGCTCGTCCAGGTCGTCGGTGCATTCGGGAGGCCAGCTTAGAAAGAAGTGTGCCGGCGAGAGTAGAATCTAGCCTTTGAATGGTGTTGTCGATTGTGTTGCCATCTGTGACACGAAGGCACGATTCGAGCAGGTCTGCATCATCGGTACGAAGTGCTTGGGAGAGAACTGTCCCCAACGATGAATGGCTTGGAGGCGCTATATTTCGTCCTTGCAAGGCGACAGCGTCGGACTGGGGTGTTAATGCTGAGGGGACATCTATTGTGCCGTGTGCGCGTGCAAGTTCGCCTAACGTGGGTTGTGCCAACTCTTGGTCGGAATCGGTGTCATTGGGGATGCCCGAATCAGCCATAGCGATGTCGGTACTGGCGTCGTCGCTGTGCTTCTTCAGAGTGTCGGCGGGTCTAGGAGCAGCAGATATGGTAACTTTAGGTGGTATGTCGTGTGCGTCTTCTCTTGTATGAGTCGGTTCGTTGTCTGAAACTTCGTAGTCGCTGCTGTCCGCATCACTTGAGATTTCTATGATGGCTTCTGTAGGTGCCACATGGTTGGCTTTTGAGGATTCGGGAACCGACACGGCTGTCTCGGACTCATTTATCTGAGGCCTCAGCGTCTTCTTCGCACTCTGTCTCGCCACAGGCTGGGCGATTTTGGCGGACGCCTTCCGCTTGGTCGACATGTTGAGGGTGCGGGCTGCTTTTGGACAAAAGCAAAGAAATTACATTAAGGGGCGACACGGATAGATTGATGGTATGGTCCGTATGTGCCGTCGTATTATTATTCGTAACGTGTTGGCGTTGAGACACTACCAATGCAATCGCACCTTGAGGCCTTGAAGTCAATTGGCCTGGAACTTTTTTGCTGTTTGATAAGGTAGCAGGACAGATAGAGAGGCTTATCGCGTGATAAGGCCGAAGATTTTTCCTCAGGGCGTTTGGTCGGTAAAGCTACCTGGGTAGATACCTAGCCTACAGGGGACTAGACACCTGCAGAGGAAATCTACTAGTCCTTACAGGGGCTAGTCTATTCTGTCGTTATTTTCAATGATACTGTACTTGCGCACTGTCCCAACCATGCTCATTTTCGTTGTCGGCTAGCCACTGACAGCTGAATAGTAAAACTGACGGCTGCAACTCTTTCCCCCGCCCCCTTACCCAGTATGAAGACTTCTCTCAGGACAGCTTCTTCCTGGGCACTTATCTTTCTCAAAGACCACCACGAGAATTTGACCCTACATATATTCATCCACAGCCCAACTCACAGCATTGCCGCCGACGATAGACGTCTAAACGCCCAAGTCAGCCATAGCCATCTTTTGGAGTTTTAGTTCATTCGTATTTCGGGGCACTCCTCTCACTCCTCTCTCATCTCATGACCATGGTCGCCTTCACATTCTTATCGCCTTCATTCACCAGCAATCTAAGTACGATCATGTCATGTGACCAGCCAATCAACCATCCATGAGTCCAACCCACCTTTCTCATACGCACACCCCCGGGCGTATGGTCCGCCCAATGGACTGGACAGAACTGGAGTCTGTGTGGCTTTCGTCATTTCCAAAATGTACAGGGTTCATGTACGACGCGTCATGATTGGACTTTGTCCCAATGCGATCGGGCTATGATTGGTCGCAAGTTGCCCGACTAGGCAAGCAGCTTTGATTCTCTTTCCTTGCTCCTGTCGGTCACTGTAAGTGTAAGGGTACGGTACCTACAGTTGGTAAGGCATGTATGTAGTAGGTAGCTTTGCGCGCGCCATCCAGTATAGGTAGGCTTACATACTTAGTAGGTAGATAGATACCCCGGGTAAGGAGGGTAGGGGCTTTGCAGACGTCGATGCGCACGCAACGGCGCTCGCCCTTTGTCCGTTCTCGTAGCCAGCGGATTTGGTATGTCAATGTCTCCGTCGCTAAGTACTGACTCGCCGAGGGAGTGGGTGGCCACGGAGAGATAAAGTGCAAAGCTAGATGCAAACCGCGTGCATACCACATCCGTTGGAAGTGAGAGAAGTAGAGGTACGTACCTGGTAAGGTACCGGTAGCACAGGTAGGTAGGCACTGACTCTCTTTTTGTGCCGGCGCCCTTGTACCCACGGAACCCGACGACCCTCAGAGACCCTCAGAGACCCTCTTCTGGCAGGTTTGCGGCGGACTGATTGGCCGGACGCCAGGATCGCTCAGGACACGCCCGTGGCGTCTGTCCGCCACAGCTCTTGTCGTGGCTGCGACCTAGCTAGGTAGGCTCTGGCCCGGGTGGAGAGTGGCCAGTGATTTTGGGCAACCCTGCGGCCTGGCGCGTTTGTACAAATAAGAAACGGGCCCCAGAGCCAGAAGATTTCGCGATTTTTCTCCGCCTGCGCCTGCACCAGCTCGAGTTGAACGCGAAAAAGACACCTCCGGCTTTCCCAAGTATTTTTCCATCCTTCCCTCCTATTTCTCCCTGTCTTCCCCTTCCCCCCTCCTCCGCTGCGCGCGTGCCTCTTTCCAACCCAACCCAACCAGCCAGCCAACCACAACAACCAGCCAGCCAGCCCGGCCTTAAGTCCGAAAGTACCGGCACCCATCCCATCCCCCAATTCCATTCCATTGATCTCATCCATCCCGTGCCATCGCATCACATCACTGGGACTGTGCATTGGGGCTTTGGGCAGTCAATCAATCAATCAATCACTACTATCGCTATCTACTAATCTCCATCTCTCTATCTCCATTTCCATCTCTGTCTGTACAATACATGCAGATAGATACGTGCAAAACAACAATAACATCATCACCTGCCTCCATGCGACAACAATAGCAACGTCCCTTCCTCAATAACACGACCAAGTACCAAGTACCTTTGTACTGCTTCCACTGGTGCATCCCTCCCATTAATGCGCTTTAAGCCGCTTTTACAGCAAACGCTTCCAGTAATTGATTAGCACCTTCTCTTGCGCTTTTATTCATCGCCTACTTCAAACGCTATTCCTCATTAGCCTGATTCGTCCCTTGACTCCAAACGGGATTAAATCATCCCTTTCCTCCAATCGTAAGTTCCACTTCCGCCTCTCTACTCCACCCACTTATACTCCAACACGCTTGTTTGACGCTTCTACAAAGTGGCATCGTGAGGCTCACCGGCGCATACCTCGAAAATAGTAATTTTATACCAATTCGACTTTTCGCATCCCATTCCGCCTCCAACATCGCATTTGGTTCACACCCACCCACCTAATTCCTTATTCAACACGGTTTCTCACCTGTTGCCTCGTCATTTCGGTCGCATCGGTATTTGTTGCCTAAGGTATGTATGTATGCTGCTAAATTCGGCGTCTTTCATCAATCAGTTCTTCAAGTTGGGTTCTGCTCATGCTCCGCACCACTCTACACTCCTCTTCACTGCCTTTATCTCGGTCGTTCTTCGTGCATCTTAATGGTTAGTATACCAGATCGCAGCCACTTGCACTTCAGTCTGCACTACTTGATAAACCCCAAGCAGAGGTGCACAAGGACTCTGGGCCGGTGTATCTTCACCAATTCGTCCGGAATCTGCGCCGACTCCGGCCCAAGTCCGACCGTTGAGTTTGCTGACTAACTGGCGAAATTCAATTGATTCATCTCATTGGCCCTCTATATCGCCTCATTTGCAACTACCTGCGACGGTGGACCCCTGATTCGCTTCTTTTCACAGCCTCCCGTGGCGATATTCCCCTAACTGCCTGCTAACCACAGGTAGTGCATCAACCACAGCTGTCCTGGAGTAAAGCAATTGGTGCAGGATATCCACCTTCAGAAGCTGTTGCCTGCCAAGTGGTAAAGGTGAGGTATGCAAGCATCTATCACACCATCCTCAGCCTTCCATTTGCGCTTGAAGTATTAAGTGGAATTAGCTGCTTTAGCAGCACCCTCTACTTCAGGATTTGGCTGTATAGTGGCAAGGGGCTCATGTTCATCTCCCGCAATCGTCCCCTCTTGCCAGTATTCATATTGAATGCGCAAGGTTTCCACTACACTATTCCAATATCATGTTCTTTATAAAACACTATTCCTAAAGGTCCAATTTCATACTCACGCATAGCACTTATTATCACTGAATTCACCTTTTCCCCTTGTACAGCGTGGTACATCATAGCTAAACATCAATAGCCAGGTCAAACTTCAAAGCTCCTTTTCATGGGCAGGTACTCAACATAAAACTCGAGCATTATCTTTTTTGCTCCCAGTGTTGCGCTTGGCGCCTCGGTGAACAGCAAACATGGCTTCCGAAGAGCCTCAGAGCTCACCATCGCAAGGTAAAGCGACAAAGCCTACGCCTGCGGACGAAATGGAAGTTGACCAGCCTGTCGCAAAGACGGTGAACGAGTAAGTTGTTACTATGGACTTGGTAGACGGTTTTTGATCACTCACACTACAAAAGGGACATTAAGTCAGACACAGAGTCAACGCAACCAAAAGTGGCGCCTCTTACTAATGGTAACACCGAAAAGTCTAAGGACTCAGATGAAGATGGAGCAAAAGGCGCTCGGGATGAGGAGGCATCTCTTACCAAAAAGAATTCGCTGGCATCATCGCCAAAATCCGGTGACACACTGCCTGTAGCAGATGTCGAGATGAAACAGGTTAATGGCACAGCTGAGGTAGAGAGCAAGCCTTCAGAGCAGAAGGTGACTGACGACGAGGCTGCTACGGTGTCTACAACACCAGCTAAAGAGTCAGAGAAGGTAGAGAAGGATGGCACACAGGCGCCAGCTTCGATCGATGATGTATCCGCCGCAGAACCGAAAGCTTCACCACAAAAGGACTCCAACAAGGAAGATCCGGCATCAAGTGTTAATGTCGATTCCATGGATATTGATGTTCCAACAGAGCAACCTGACTCGGCATCAAGTGCAGAGCACGTTGACGGCGCAAAAGACACAGCTACTGTGAGCGACGCGCCGATTGCATCGTCTCCCCCCGACTCTAGTCAGCCCGCTGACATATCTAAGCTTGAGATTAAGGCAACGCAGGATGAAGATGTACCAATGATCGAATCTGTTGCATCCCCTCCGAAGGTATCTCGTGAGCGCGAAGAAGACGACACGGAAGAGCCCGCCGCCAAACGAGCGAGGACAGAGGATGAGGGCGAAGCTACCCTAGATTCATTAGTTGTAGCTAGCAGTGCCGACGCCGATGCACCTGCTCAGCAGAAAGGAAATAAGGAGTTGGACAGCGCGATTCCGGATCATCTGCCCATTACACCCCACCAAAACAAGAGGACACGTGAGGTCCTTGCCAATGTGAAGAAGACCAAGAACGGCGGCAATTTCCGGAAGTCAGTGCAAGAGCTATGGCCTGGATTATGGAATGACTACAGCGCAAAGATCGATAATCCTATCGATATCTCTCTGATGGAGGGTAAATTGCGCGAGGATAGGTACGCCAACTATGGCCAGTTCAAGGCTGATGTGAATCAACTCTACGAAAATGCGGTATTGTTCAATGGCCCCCTCCATGACGTCTCGCGTGCTGCAGCCCAAGTGAGAGACTACATCCTAGTCAGAATGCCGGAGATCATCCATACGAAAGAACCTGTAAAGCCCGAGAAAGGTAAGGCTCAACCAACTCGTCAGACGGAGCCCCGTGCTGCCAACCAGCCTCGCCGTCAGTCTCAGTCGCAGACGCACGGCCTAGCAACAAGTCCGAAGTCGAAGTCAGACCCATCCTCTCTTCCCAATACAGCGTCAACTACAAATCAAGCTTTTGCTATCCCCCCATCAGGGATCCCTCAAATTCGACGTGATTCTACCCGCGACGATGGCGACAGACCAAAACGGCCGATTCATCCACCGAAGAATCGTGATCCCGAATATGCATCGAAGGCTAGCCGGAAGAAGAAGTTGGATCCCGAACAACGCTTTTTCGACATGGTTCTCGAGGAGGTTAAAAAAATCAAGCATTATGCGATCAACCAGTGGTTTCTGGCGGCAGTGGATCCCGTGGCCTTGAATATCCCCAATTACTTCAAGGTCATCAAGAAGCCGATGGATCTTGCTAAAATGACCGAAAAGAATTATGACGGAGAATACAAAACGACGAAAGATCTCGAAAAGGACATGAAACTCATCGTTCATAATTCTGAGGTTTTCAACGGACCAGATCACGATGTTTCCAACCAAGCCAGACAATTAGAAGAGCTCCTAAAGAGTCAGTTAGCTGGAAAGGATAAGTGGATGGAGAAGCACTACCCTGCGGCAGCCCCGTCTGCGATGCATGCATCCACCGCAAGTCCCGACCGAAGCATTGCTGAGTCGGATGATGATAGTGATGGCAACGGAGAGGATGAAGAGAATGATGCAATTCAAAGTCTTCAACAGAGACTGAATGAGGAGCAGGAAAAGCTTAATCAGCTCCTAAATTCCAAAAAGCCAGATCTTACCATGATGGAGGTGCAACAGTCTATGGTGGCTGTGCTTCAACGAAAGCTAGTTGAAGAGAGGACTAAATTCCTCAGCGAAAGAAAGCCCAAAAAGAAAAAGGGTGGCAATGCCAAGAGTAAATCCAAGGGTACTGGGAACAACTCAGTCGGCGGAAACAAGAGGATGTCTGGATCTGTGAGCACATCTAAGAAACCGATTGGTGGTAATAAGAAGCCAGTTGCACCTAAGAAGCGAACCATTGGTGCCTTAGAGAAGGCGGTCATAGCTGAAGGCATCAACGAGCTAGACGGCAACACTCTCACCAAGGCTGTCGAGATTATCAAGCGTGACACTGGTCAGAATGTAAGTAATAAGCATCGATATACTCTTTTCCCCACACTCTTAGACCAACCCGCAGCGAGAATTTGTGTTGTGCAAAGGCATGAGCAGTAATTGACTGGATGACTTCAATAGGAGAATGACGATGGCGAGATGGAGTTAGACATTGATTCTCTAACTCCAGACGCTCTTGGCAAACTGTATGATCTGATTAACAAAGCGCATCCCAACATCCGCCAGGGTCTTGCGAAGAAACCCGAGTATAGTAAGGACTTGAACACAGAATCCGAGCCGAAGGCCAAACCCAGTGGAATGCCGAAGGCCAAAAAAAATAAGCCAATGAATAAGCACGAGCAGGAACGCAAGATTGAGCAGTTGCGGGAGCTGAAAGCCCAGCTTCAACGACATGGTAGTGGCAGTCAGGAGCCCATACCCGAAACTGAGGCACAGGCTGCCGGCGATTCTAGCGAAGAGAGCGACTCAGAAGAGGAATAAAAAAAAACTAAGACGAGGTGTCAGAGGAGGAATGAAACTGATGAAGACGTATTTGCACGTTGAGAAACCAGCTCAGCTGTGCGAGTCATAACATTGCCAACCACTTGGTTGTAGTATCCAGTGCTTTTGCCAAATTATTTGTTCAGCTGATAGAGCACGTCACTTTCGCCCGCCTTTCCTTAGGCTGATGGTTGGCACCGAACGCTGCGAGACTAACGACACAGTCTCAAAAATAAACGGGCAAATTTTCGAGTCTGTGTGGGTATAATCAATTTCCACGCAACACTGGCGTAGGAAAGGGAAGTCCGCCATGTAGAATAGTCAAGAAAGATTATGGTGAGGGAACTCGAGGAATGATGCGTACACCACTTATCCTTCAGCTGGGGGAGTATTCGATCAACCAGTCGGTTCTCCGACTTGGAATTGGGGGATCGAAACCCGCGCGCCTAGCTTCATTATAACAACTGATAAAGGTGGTGGGGTCTTTTGATGCAACTGGTTCAACCAGAGCCATGCAGAAGTTACCCAGCTTGCATACTCAAGTCTAGCACATAGCTGTCCCAATATTGATCGTCGTGGTATCCCTTGATTTCGCGGTTTGCAAAGTAGGATTATTCGTCGTAACTATCTACTTAGGTAGCCAATCCTACAGATGCATTAATCGTTATTTTTCAATACCAGGAGCAGTAGTGTGTGATAAATCCGAATACCTGTCAGGACCGGGCGGGTTCAGCATCTGCTAGATATACAGATGAATGAATGTATCGACTGAGTGTCCATAAATGTCGTTGATGCAATGGCGGTTGTAAGCTGTAACCATAGCTAAATTTGGCGCTCCCTAGAACTAAGCTAGGAGGCTCCATCGCGGCGATCGGGCACCGGGACAGTAACGGTGAGATCGTAGAATTAGAAGTAGGAGGAAGTCCTGTGGTTAGTTGTGCCTGGTATGGAGACAAGAACAAAGGGACTGCTAGATGTCACAATAGCCTGCAGGAATAGGAGGAGAATAAGCGTAAAATCATTACCTGGATGGGCCTCTCTTTCGAGCTACGACCGACCATATATCAATATGAGGCGGAGGCGGAGGAGGTGCAAGGCCAGACATGCTGGCAGAGAGTGAAGACGACGCATATTCGGGGCTTGTGAAGTATCTCGCAGATATAGGCGATGGATTAGCAACCAAGCCTCCATCCTCTGTGCCTTGTCTTTGCTGTTCATGACTGTTGACTTCGGAATTCTGTCCTGATGAATTGGAAGACAAGACAGACAATGAATGATGACGGGAGGAATGAGGACGGGGTAAGCAGGGCAGGTAGCCCACCTGGTTCTTTTTTTGCGGTGCCCTGTACTTGAGACGGCGCTACAGGGGCTAGCCTAACTTTACTAGGTCCCTACAGGTACCTTAGGGGACTGATGGTACCTGTGCTGGTCACGCTTCCCTGTGATAGCACTGATAGGGGGGTTACCTAGCAAGATTATAGGTATCTACAGGCTTGATACTGGCCCAATCTAGTGGGCATGTCTTGCTTTTAGGGGCCGTACTTACAATGAATGGGTGACCCCCACGCCAGGCACGATAAATCAGGTACCTAGGTATCTACCTCCTAGTAGTACTGTAGTCGGTTACAGCATCTCAACTGATGATGCCGTAGGTAAGTACTTAGGTAGCTCTAAGAATTACCTATCTATAATATCACTATCCAACTCTCTCTACCTTGATAAGACCTTGGGCCCAGCCCTCGCGTGTACTCAGAACAAAGAGAGGTACAAAGCAGGGTCATTCGTTGTATGGAAGAAGAAGGGGGAAGGAAACCTGTTGTAGGGCCTCCAAGACGGTGGCCCGAGTGCACAGTGATTACCGGATCCACGAATCAGCGCGTGGATTTGACTACACCACTAGTTCTTCCGAGACGGTAATACGAGATCAGGAGCAATTCTCGAGAGTATAAGAGAGGTTTTATACATGAAGGGATGGGAAGTTGTTATGAACTACCTACTTTCGGAAGTCGGTTGGACATTCATGAGTAGCTTGTCAAGGTAAGCATCGTATGACCTCAACTCTGTACGTGTTCATGTCCTTTGTAGATAGACTAGGTAGGTAGGGAAGAATGGGAAGCTCTCCTGTGACAAGTTATCACCAAGCCATCTCATTGGTACTTTATCTACAGCTTGACACTAGCCTTCCATTGAAACGGTGAGGCCATTTATATTTCATTTCCGAACAAGATTATATACAGTATCTATTGCATGATCTAAATATTCCTCTTTGATCGTCCAAGACAAGTCCACTCCACTGCTCCATTCGAACCCGGAATCTAAGGTAATAGATCTAGATCTCAATACTACCAGGTCTAAGCAAGGGATTAAATCATCGAAATGTCCAAAAGGTGAAGAGCTAGTCTTCTCGTATACCAAGCCATCATTCCACAATTTAGTTAATAGAATCGAATGTCTTTGCGATTTCGGACCGACCGTAAGTAAAACCAGTTAAGTATACCAGAATGACATAGGCTTGACGTCATTGACTACATCCACAAATATAGAAAGAGGAAGAAAGATCCTGAAGAAGGAGATCACGCGACATGTAAGATTCCGAGAATAGGAACTCCTGTGTCTTCATTCAGATCGCGTTTGTTGTGTCGTACTACCATGAAGGAATACACGGCGGAGGAATGGCTGCCCTCCGCCTCGGGGCTGGGCGAGAGTCCTTTATATCGTCAGGAAGACGACACGTTCTTCTTCGCCGACATCAAGAACTGCCTCGTGCACTGCGTTCCACTATCCCGCGGCTGGGCGGGCAGATACACGGTCCACTTGGACGAGCCCATCACACGGCTTGAGATCGTCGAGGGACGCCTGGATATCCTGGCCGTACAGACGCGTCTCGGCTTCGCGCTGCTTAATTCTACTAGCGGCGCTATACAGCAGATCGCCGTGATCAGACACGAGGAAGACGCGAGTCTGAAGGACAAGGTGCGCATGAATGACGGTGGCATCGACGCTCGCGGACGCTGGTGGGCTGGCAGCATGGCTTTAGACGAAGAGGCTGCAATTGGCCGGCTATGGCGTCTTGATGGGGGGAACGTGAAGGACATGTCGGCGGGGAACGAAGATGAAAGGGCTGCCGTCATTAATGGGCCTGTCTGGTCGCCTGATGGTAAAATTATGTACACGTGTAATACACCGGAAGGCAAGATTTACCAGTACGTATCGCCAAACTCCCCTTGATGACAAAGTCGTCACGCTGCGACTGTCCTGGAATACGGTCAATATCAAAATCCGCAGCTATGTCTGATGATTTTTACATTACAGGTCTAAATACGACGTCGAGAACGGCACGACGAACAACAAGCGACTATTCGCACATCTTGAGGATGGCGGGATGCCAGACGGATTAGCAGTAGACTCGGAAGGTCATATATGGGCCGCCGCGAACTCGCAGGGCAAACTTGTGAGGATTTCACCCCAGGGTGAAGTAGTCGCTACATGCGTCGTTCCTGGCGCCAAGATGACCTCGTGTCCAGCATTTGGCGGAAAGGATATGAAGACGTTATTCATTACGTCGATTTCGGCGGATGGGTCAACTGGCAATGTGTACCGCGCTAGAGTGGATATTCCAGGTATTCCTAGAAATGAATTCAAGCTATGAGCATTGCCATGTTTTTGATTGTATACCATCCCGTGTGCTATACTCGCCAGGTCGAGAAAACCAATGATAGTGTTTGAGTTGGTATTTATCTGATTATTTCAAACGCGCAGTGTTAATCCCAACTTATAGGAGTCGTTCCTGATACTTCCTTCAACGCCCCTATTCGACCATGACTGGCTCGGTCGAGGACCATCGCCACCAACACGTATTCAGCAGTCTCTAGTAATTAGTCGTATGGTTTTGAGTTGCAACTACGCTGGTATAGGTTCCAAAATGTCCATTTATCATGAAGATTTGTTTTTTTTTAATGAGGTAAAGCTTTCCACGCCTACTACCAAGAGAAATCACTCATCATTGCGATCTGGATGTAACATCCACGCTGACGAGTGTGTGTTTCCACTTCCCGCAGCCGACGGTAAGGTCATAGTGGAACTCGAAAGCATTGTCGGAGCCGTCCCTCTGGCTCTCGCTCTCATCAGGGATGCTCACAAATTCCCATTCCCGGTCGTCATCGTCCCTTGGATCTGAGTACCTCATTTTCTCGCTTATCTTCTCGGAGGCAGAAACGCTGCGCTCTGGTGTACGGGGTTAGATACTTTGTAGGAAGAGTGGGCTCATTGAGTAGATATTGCATGACACATACCAGCAGTGTGAGAGTCGCAGACATCACTCTTTTCTTTACAATATTCTTGTTGTTTTTCATACTTTACAGACGCAGGTATAGATGGTCTAGATGAATGCTGTAATTGGGTATCTTCCGCTGCTATTGTACCGTCTCAATTAGACATCCATTGATGTTCAAGAAAAGGTTGACATAACTTGGAAGCCTTGCCTGCTGAGGGTCGATAGGTGCCACCTTTCTGTGACATGATGCTGTGTGAAGTTGATTAGATCTCTGGGAAATTTATATAGGCATTTTATGAAAGGAATCGACTTTTCATATACTAAGATTAGGAAAATAAAATTGTTGAAGTAAGATGTCTGGAGCAGTTGACCATGAGAACACAGCCACCTTGGATCATACAATACCTACTACATCTAGGCCCTGTTACTGGTCTGTCAGGGCGGGGAGCCTACCCTGTGGTTAGGCGGGGACATTTACCCCACCGAATAAGTTTGGGCAGTGGATGGCCACAGAAAATAGATCATGATACTGGTATTATTCATTTACTACTTAACAACATAATCTGATCTCATCAAGTTACCATGGCCGACGTAGATCCCCAGCTACGACTTCTGAAGCGCCAGTACTTCCAGCTGTTCGAGCCAGATTTCCTAGCATGGCCCCACCCACAGCTCCTCAGGCGTAGCGATGCACAGGCCTGGCTGTTCAAACACCTGTTTGATGAGACCCGTAACGCCCATCTGCCGCCAGAGAGGTACCAGCTTCGCGTCCTACGACCGCTCGTAGCTCGGATTGAGAAGTCTATCCAGGACCCGGAGGAGGATGTATGTATATACGTATCTAGCTGTACGCATCCCAGTTCCTGGCACTGACATTGATGTTAGGAAATCTCGGATGATCTCATGGGCCGCATTGGTGCTCTCATGACACATGGTGTACCATCTGAGTTTGAGACAATGAAAGAGCGAGCATACGTTACATTCACCTGCCTACCTGAAAGCCAGATGCATAAATATGAGGGCGACGACGGAATCACTGGAGAAGAGCCCACAATCACGTTACTAGAGAGGCGAAATCTAATATCCGGGTCACGTACGACTGGTCACCGTACCTGGGAAGCAGCCTTACACCTCGGTTCATATCTGTTGACTAAACCAGGTCATGATATAATCGCAGGGAAATCGATCCTTGAGCTTGGCGCTGGCACAGGCTTTCTCGCCATCTTGTGTGCCAAACACCTAGGTGCCAGGCACGTGACCACCACGGACGGGGATGAAAGTGTGGTCGACTATCTGAAAGAGAACCTTGTTCTTAATGATATCGAAGAAAGAAAATCAGTCACGGCTAGAACATTGTGGTGGGGAGAAGAGCTCAAAGGAACATGGGTTGAAGAAGAGTGCTCCTCGGACCCCTATGATGTGGTGATCGGAGCTGACATCGTAAGTTTTGGGACTACCCTCACAGCTACACGATGGCATGCGTGAATAGAGGCACTGGGGTTAATGAATTATCACCACAGACATATGATAAAGAGGCTATCAAGGCTTTGATACAGACTCTTCAACACTTGTTTCAAATGAGACCCGGGCTCTTAGTCATCATCGCTGGTGTTGTTCGAAACGCAGACACCTTCCAAACCTTCCAGAACGAGTGTGGTAAGTTATTACAACCTGGTATACGATGCTAAGATCGAATACACTGACTTCTCTTGCAAGCTCATTCCAACTTTGCTGTTGAGGAGATAACATTTCCCGCCAAGCCGATGCGCGAGCAAAAAGCCTTATTCTACGCAGCTGCGGTACCCATTAGAATATTAAGGATCACTTCGGGAGGATAGATACACGCATTCTATAATGCCATTCACACAGACCTCATATCAGTAGTATCTCGCGTGAAGCTGAAAATCACCGAATCGGCTAAGAATAGTGGCTTTGAAATGGCTACTTCCAGAATAAGCTGAACGCACCTGGGCTGAAAATTATTAATTCATCTTTGTTGACGCATGCCTATATTGGGCTTCCTGAGTATCCAGGTTTCTACACGCTCATTATTGCCCAATGCACCGGTTTAACATCTAAGTGCAAGCAATCAAAGCTTTCAGGCTCATAATAACCCAGGCCAAGCGCCAACACAGAAAGTGTTAGATCAATGGTTGTCAAAGACGTCGCTGTTTCTAGAAATAAGGTGTCGACAATGGATTCTAGCAACGTCCTTTTTGCCGTTTAGATCACTGTGGAAACACCAGACTCATCTCGAATAATCAATCATGATGCCTTACAAGCATGTCTCAAACATTTTATAAACCCCCTTCCACTTCCTCACTGCTGTAATCATCCCAGCATCTTTTGCTCCTCGACTGCGACTGTCTAAGATTACTACGATTCGTCAGCCATCATGTCCGGAATCAGCACTACAAGACCCAACCTATCCCGCGCAGCAAGCCTTGTACAGTGTGTCAGCTGTCTCGAAGACAAATTTGCTGGTCAATTCGCGTACACAACCCGGCGCTGTGCAAGCAGACACCCCGCCAGCACTTGCATATCATGCATCGAGACCTGGATCCAACATAGCCTCGAGGAGGGCGGTACCCGTGTCACTTGTCCCCAATGTCCTACTGAGCTAGGTTATTCTGCGATCCGAAAGTTCGCCGACAGAGCCACGTTTGAAGAGTACGAGATGCGCCAGCTCACGAGCTTATTGGACGGCGACCAGAGTTTCGTGTGGTGTTCCCGCGGCTGCGGATCCGGACAATGGCATCCCGCTGGCGTTGACGAGCCGATCCTCACATGCCATCATTGTCACCAGCAGACCTGTGTAGTGCATCGTCTGCCATGGCATACAGGTCTTACTTGCGGCCAGTTTGACGCAGCACTCTGGGCACAGGAGGAGAGCGGACACGGAGCGCAGGAACAGCTTTCAGCGGAACAGAGACCGCATGCCCTGCTTCTTCAGCGGGCGAGAGAGGATGAAGCTAGCCGCGACGTCGTCAGAAGGACCTCGAAGCAATGTCCGAGTTGCCATTTCGATATCGCGAAGATTGGTGGATGTGATCATATGCATTGTGAGTACCCCGAGATTGGATTACTTAGCTCCTATACTGCAAATATGGGCAAAGCGGCGTGCCGACTGACATATTCACATACAGGTCGTCGTTGTGGCCATGAATTTTGTTGGGTTTGCTTTGCCCCTCATTATCCGATTCAGCGAAACGGGAACACGGCGCATAGGAGGGGCTGCCGTCATTATCGACCTTGATGGCGCCTTTTTGTCAGACTCTTAGTCAGAAACAACATCCTACCTTGTTTCACATTGTCGGTGTTTCTGTTATCATGTCTTCTTGCAGCAATGCTACAGATGTGTTGTTTGTTGCCGGTTGTGGTCTACCAGAAGCAATTAGATATGTCGTGTCAATCTGGCCTAGCAAAAGTACAAAAAAGAGAGAGGAAAACGACAAAAAAAAAACAGGGTCGAATTGCTCTCGTCTAGGCTCGATCATACAGCCTATTGTTTACACACTGTCCGGTACTCTACTTTACTCATCAAGGTCAGGCGGGAATTGGGAAGAGTAGGATTACGGACAGCGCACCTGATTCGCCTCAGATCGAGGAAGAACACAGTGGGTGATCAGTCCACTCGACCATTGAACTAGTTCAATACTTGCTGATTCGTCCACTAAACTAGCACTAAGCCCCACCAACGCCAAGCTCTTATCGGACGGGGGGCCCAGTCTTATCCGTTTATCCATCTACCTTACCTAAGTAGGGCTAGTCTATGCACCCCAAGCACCCTCGCGCAGACTCGCATAGAATCGGAAATGTTAGAGGCATCAGATATCAAAGCTCCCTGTGAGCAATCAAGAGGCAGTCTACAGTTTCGTATCCATGATATTTCGGTCTTAATACAGATTTGTAGTCCTCTGCTTATGCGAAAGCGAAACTAGTCGTAGCCTCTCTCACTAAGTATCTCACTATGCGATCCTCCTATTGCTCTCATGACGATGACTACAACAAACAACCTCGCAGCCTGTCAAACAAACGCCCATCGTATTCCCGTCATTTCTAATCCGAATGATTATTGTCCTTAAGAAGAAAAAAATAAACTAGAATAAGAATGATTAGACAGCAGAGACGAGCCTTTGGACTGCATGCATCATCATTGGCCGCAGGCCTGTCGTAATCCCATATTGTACACTCACGCCAACATATTTTCCTCGAATAGCATTTCTAAGCACACCTTGAATCTCTCATCTCCGGCCAGTAGTAAATGGATAGGCATCTATGTAGCCCACAGTTAGCTCCGGGCACCCATTCCCACGCGCAGCCCTTTCTCCCCTTCACGTCAGACCAGACGAGGAGCTTATTAAGTACAACCATCGTCACAATGTAGAGGAAGTAAGATCCATTACTTTTATCCTTTAATCCCATCTATCACGAATAATCTCATGTGATTAATTACAAGATACGGGTTATTACTCACAGTCTACGTAATAAAGCAGTAACTGTTAATGATCTTTTCCCCCACAAAGCACTGAGACTATCCACCCCCATATCAGGCTATTTCGCTACATATGCACCCTGTGTTTCCTCAACGGGTCGTTTCCTTCCGGTTGGGAATTAATCTCGTGAACACCACTTACTCTAGACAGGTGGAGCGCCCCTCCCGTTTCCTCTAAACGGGGGCTTGTAGCTTCAAAGGGGAAAGAGGGGAGGGGGGTATAGTGGAAAAGGCAAGGAGGCCGAGGTACGCTCGTTGAATAGTCATAAAGGAGATGGATGCCTCGAGGCTTGACTTTTGAGGACCAATTCATTGCGAGTTGAATCTAAATCAATCGCCTGACAAGATGCGGTCGTCGTTTTTCATCCCTCTCCTGGCGGCGACGAGCTATGTAAGGGCGCACGTCCCAAAGCTTGGCGCAGATGGCAAATACACTATCAGCTCTCCTAGCATCAAAGCGCAGGTTAGTTCATAGCCGTCCGCGCAATGGCTTTCGTATCGATTTAATTCGACCTAGTTCATCCCATACGGCGCTACTCTCACAAACCTCTTTGTCAAGGACAAGGACGGTAAGGATGTTGATGTTGTTCTCGGTTATGATGACATAGCATACTACCGTAGGTGATCCTGACGTCCCAGCGAGCGCCTTGCTAGCAGAAGACTGAAGAACTGTAGCCAAGGACCCGGGCCACCCGGTCTACAATAGCATACCAGGTCGTTACGTGAACAGGATTGGTCATGGTACCTACAGCATCGACAACAAGACATACAAGACTGAGCTAAACGATGGTACCAACACGTTGCACTCTGGAACAAACAATTGGTCTTACCGGACGTGGAACGTAACGGCGGCGACAAATGAGTCCATCACATTTTCAATCCGCGATGAACCAAACTCAGAGAAAGGGATGCCAGGTCTGATCTTGGCCAACGTCACGTACAGCGTCTGCGGTGACAAATGGAGCATCAAGATGGACGCAGTGTCGCCTACTGTCAAATCACGTTCGTCTGACACCTTGCCCTGGCTTAAGGTCTGATCAACTGGATGGAGTGGCTGACGATGTCTCGCAGCTCTTATGCTCACGCATCACACGTACTTCAACCTTGATGCCTACAAAAACCCTGATACTGTCAAGATTTGGAACCATACACTATACATGCCATACTCGAAACGGTATCTGGTAGCGGATGACGGAGCTCTGCCGACCGGCAAGATCGCAACGGCAGGGGCGAATAGCATCAACGATTTTGCCAGTGTACCCGACTTATCCCTCGGTCATGCGCAGAAGCTTGCAGGTTTCTCTAGCAACTGCGGAGGAGGAGGCGCGTGCGAGGGTTACAATGGCTATTTCTTGATCGAAGATGCCCCTGCTGACGCGGCAGTCGTCACCCTGGCCAGCCCCTTCTCAGGCATCAAGGCAGAGCTCCGGACCGATCAGCCCGGTGTGGTCATTTATAGTTGCAACTGGTTCGATGGCACGGCAGATCTCAAGAGCACGCAGGGGACAAGTAGGAATAAGAAGGTGGTGCGAAGTTCGTGTGTCGCAATCGAGGCACAAGACTATGTGGACGGAATTAATCAGTAAGTATTCCTTCCCCAAAATGGCTGAAATAAGCGGCATCTACCTTTTAAGCGTAGTCAAGACTGACGTGTTCGCTAATAGTCCGGAATGGGGACGAAGGAATACCCAGATTACGGGGCCAGGTCAGAAGTACTCGTGGGAGAGTTCGTGGACTTTTACCACCCTATAGGATGTCGGTTATAGATTGTATATAGGGCCAAGAAGATACGCGAAACCTGAAACCAAACGTTGAAGCTCGTCACGACTGAAACGGAATTGGATGACTATTGAATTGGAATCGGCGGCGTATTCGTGAAATCTCTTTCGGCCATGTTTGCGCGGGCGCGTAGTCTCGCGAGCGAGAATGCCTAATGGCTTATTCGTCTGTCAGCCTAGCGTAGCCTGATTCAATCCTAACGCGAAGAACCCCGTCACACTCCCGATTAGTACCAATCTATTGAGGCCGCCTAGAACAGCGTTGTAATGTAATGTGCTCCTAAAAGCATTTACCTGACGTCATCAAAGAAAACGGGCGCATCTGCCAGGTGCCTGTGGAAGCTGGGGATGGCGCACGCATGTTGAGGCAGCGTCCGTGCGAGCGAGCGAGCGCGAACGAACTACTCTCTCTTGTGAACGAGTTTTACGACATGGTTGATATGGGTAGGCTGAGCCGCTGCAAGCAATGCGTATCAACAGTTCTAGAACATGGGTGGCAAAAAAACCAGGCGGTTGTGTAATGTTGCACTGCGAGAGGAATGCGAGAGCAATTGGAGAGAGCAGGGCATGAGAAGGAGAAGGGAAAAAGGTCGGGAGGGGAGGAGGAAGGGGCTCTAGGAAGGGGACGAATGCGACATCCCCAACGAGGATGCGAACCAGGCGAACTACATATGTACATACATACATAAGTACTAGGTACAGAAGGTAGGTACCTACTTGCACGTACCCCACGCAAATCCACTGGACCAGAACTGGAGATATGGTACCTATCGTCAAGGATCTCGGAGAGTTATTCGACACTATCCAGAGATGGCAATCCTAAGCTCGATCCGGAATCTGGTGGTTTGTGTTTGGCTTGTGTTGGTCATTCTCTACTGGTTGATTCGGTACCGACAAAGACTGGAAACTCTCGCGGCTTGCCGGACGTGGCGCTGACGGCAGAGGATACGAAGGGAGGGAGCAGGATGTCTTGGCCGCTCTTTGATGATGCTCTGTGATGTGTGATGGACAAACAAGAAGACCAATTGTTTCCTTTTCCTCCGCCGCCGCCATCGGCAACATGGACAAATCCACAACCCCATCTCTGCTACCCACGATTTGAGAAGCCCACCCGAGATTCCGCGTCTTACCCTTGTTCACCCTTGTTCACCCTCGTCCATCGCTTGTCCAGTTCCAGCAGATCTCTCCCCTGTCCAGTCCCTGTCGTCCAAGGGTCTGCCCCTTCTTTTAGTGGAGCTAACGGTAGCCTCAGGGTCCCTCCAACCTGAACCATCCCACAATGACGTAGCAGCTGAGGTGGGAGGGTAGCTGTCATAATTATCAACAGCCCAGACTCGGCTCAGCAATCCTCGCTTAAGCAACGTCTCACGGAATTCTCACTTGGATCCTTACTTGGCTTGTAACCGTTGTAGACGCCATTGCGACCTTGAGGTCTTCTTCCTGCTTATCTGCCACGGTAATCTAGCATAGGCAGCAAGAAAACAACAATAGTAGCAGCTGGTAGCTCACAAATGACGCTGCCTGCCGGCTTACTCTCCTTCACGCCGGCAATTTGTTTTCCCCAACATCTGGGATACGGGGAAGATATGGGCTAACTCGTCTGCCACAACTGCCCGTCGCGTAAAATATTTCATGCGTCATGACGTCGAATGGGAACCGCGACGTCATTCTTTTTCGGTGAGCAGAGGCAGCATAACCCAGGCCACACACTTTAGCTGTCTTTTCATCGCGTTTAAATGATAGAATTGGTGATAGATATGACCATTTTTAACCACCAGGGCGGCGGCATCGTGGACGGATAGGATGATAGGGAATAAATAGTCTGTTTCCTAACCCATAATAGCCATGATCGACCATTGCTGGCAGTCACGAGGAAGACAACGTGGTACGACTTGGGTGGCGACAATGGCGATCGGTATTCAGGTATCGAGAGGCATCTTTCCCACCGAGATCCCCATGCAGAGCCCATAGAGGAGTCAGGTATGTTCAGGTGGGATTTATCAAAATCCGCCTGAGAAACCGCTGTTGTCGGATAATCTTACCTGCTTCCCAGACAAGGGAAGATCGACACTGCCGGGTCCGCCCTCGGAACAGCCCGCGATGCTGGGTATTGTTGTGCTCACAGCATCGGACTTACAACACCAAGTCTTCCAATATACTTGACTGTGACAGGCAGGAGGCACGATACAAACTGATGCGAAGTCGCTGCATGACATCATGCAGAGAAGAGCGTCCCTATGTCAGTCAGCCTGAAGCAGCGGAACCGCCAAGCCCAGGACATGGGAAGCCCATACAGCTTGCTACGAGACTAGCATATCCAGTTGATGGGAGATGACTTGCCGTAGGCTGGACACGTCAAGCAAGGCACATACCTAGAGAATGGTATCTAGTTTAGACGCATAAAATCCCTCTTGTGCCCTCCTACTCGTTCGATCTGTCAAGCCCAACATCACTTGCGTTGATCGACACAAACTTCAGCGTGTAACTACATCATCGGATCCTCATCCCATCAAGACAGCATCTTGTCCAACCCAGTTTCTGTGTCCAACTTGCAGCTGCCAATCCCTATCCAGTAATCATCACAGCCTCATACCTAATCCCGATTCAGCTCTGTACAGGCGAGCTATTCAGGGTCCCCATCCCTACCCGGTTACCCAGCCTCAACCAACCTTAGGCTACGCTTGCTGGTGTGCGGATGCAGCCGAGACTATCCGGTACCAACCTGCCAGAACCGCCGCCGCTCGACCCACCTACCTGAAAAGGCAATTGCCTCGAATAGAAGGAAAGAAAGAAAGAATGGCTCAAAACCCTCCGAACAACGACTCTGCGCGAGCTGTACAGTATCTGTACCTCAAGTAAGCCTCGTCCTATTATCTTCTTTCAAGAAATAATGATATCTCTCTTGTTACCTAATTATCGATGTATATCGACCTTGATTGCTGACCTAGCTCCTTTACTTGGTCAGTCAGGACGATCGCGCACCCGAGGCTCCTGCTCAGCGCCCCGCGATCAATGTCCCGATTGACCTTGGCTACAGCATGCAACGATTCGTCAATTCGCACGCCCATATCGAGGATAGCGTGTTACGTCCGTTGCAGCACTTTGCGAACAGCACGCCGCTCACTGAGGCTCAGTCACGCGCGCGCATGGCGGCTATTCTAGCCGCTGCAGCCAAGGCCTCGGCGCCGACGCGGGATTGACTGCTCGGAAGATTCCACGGTTATCGTTTCTATGAATCAGCCGTGATGTAGGTGTTTCTTAATACCCTCTCAATCTTTTCTAATCTGGGCTAATCTTAATCTGTATGTAGTTCGTCATATAGTAGAGCGGGACAAGTCATGTTCACGGGACCCAGGAGACAATTTGTCCTAGGGGATAATTTTAAGACAACGACAGAAATGAAGAAACTTGATCTCTTATTCAAGATCGCTGGTGAATTAAAGTTGATTTGCGGTGGAATCAGACGCCATGTGGATTTCATTGAATTTGCTTATTTCGTACGACACTCAAACCTCTTATCACATATAGAAAACGTAGTGAATGACTATTTCATTCAAGACAACTCTCCATGACATTGCGTAAAGGATCTTCGTGACTCCCATAACTCATATTGGTCAAAGCCAAAGCACTTGCTCATATGCACTAAAGAGCGCATGGAGGTTTGACGCCCACATTATCTAAATGGAATACACAAGCTGGTCCCTCCAGCCATCTAAATGCAGACGCACTCTGCCCATAAAAAGGAAAAAAAGTATCCATTATCCTCTTCAAGGCCTGCGATTCAATTAGACTCCCAATACCCACGATCGCGGACGCCGTATTACGCTTGGCCGATGTGCCCCTTTCAGCACAATTGACAAAATCGTCTGGGGAAGTATCGGCTATACCTCAAACTAGCTCCGACCGTACGGCACAGTTACTAGACCGCACAGTCGCCGCCGGCGCCGGCCGAGCAGCAGCAGCATCCTGCCCCGTGAATCGGATCGGCGAGCTATACGGCGGGACGTCCTGCCACGGGCTCCGATCACTATGATTAGCTGGTGTCAGTAATTACTTTTGATGTAAAAAAAGAAGGGGGGCAAGCTCTAGAAGTCAAAGGACTCCGGGGTTGGCATACTGCTGTGCATCCGACGGCAAGCTCCAGTATCTCACCGGATGCACGTATCCCGAAACAACGCCCTTCTCTCGGCGTCCTCCCGTCTTCTCGCCGCGCTGGAGTTTGCGCCTGCGAAGCCAGATGACGAGGACCGCGCCGAGGACGACGATTTGGAGTGCGAGGGAGACGAATGTGACTATCGCGGCGGCGTATATGGTCTTCGTGGCGGCTGTGAGAGTGGCTGCTATGTCGCTGTTGCCGAAGGAGATGGTCGAGCCGCCGACGTTGCTGTTATTATTTACCGCGCTGCTGTTCGCGCCGATGGCGCTGCTCATTTGAGAATTGTCGCCTCCAGTGTCGTTGCCGGTGTTGGTGTTTGTCGCGCTGCTGCCGGTGCCATCGCTATTGGCCACTTGATAGTTGTTGTCATTGTTGTCTCCGTTATTATTGTTGTTGACGGCTTCAGCGCCGTCGCTGTTGTTATTGTTGTTATTGGTTGCTTTCGTTGACATTGCGGGAAGAAGTATGGCACCTCTAGCCCAACGGAGAGCGACGTGGTCAATAGAGCTGCTAGATTTAAGTAATGAATAATTGCCCAGTTTTGAGACCGGAAGGATGAACGTGCCGTTTTGTGTGATACAGCAACTTCATAATAGACAGGCAGGCCGCTCGACAATACCCTCTAGTATACCTACTCTCGCTTGTATGAAGCATTTCATTCTAGTCGCAATTCTGAAACCGCCTCCAGCCTTTCGCGACCAGTTGCGTATGCCATAGCATCCTCTTCATCTGTAGGGTTGTGTCGGTGGCTTAGATGGAGCAAAACAGCAGGTTTCGTTCACGGTCGAAGTAGAGAAACCCTTATGATACCTGAGTACGAAAATACCAACCCCTTAATCAATCATTTGCTATATCAGAGCCTTACCGAGACAGCGTATCGCGCAATAGTTTGCTAGTAACCCAAGGAGCTTCTCTATGATATGAAAATCGGATGAATGGCTTCAAACCTGTTTCGCCCGTGGCAGGCCTTCGGGGTCTACCCATTTATATCCGCTAAGAGAAAGTACCCGGCTCTAATGTAAGAGGGTCAGAAAACTGTGCTTTTAAAGTATCTCATGAGGAGGATTTGCATATCTAGCGCCGAAATGTGCATACGAAGCGCGGAGTAGCGCAAGGTTGTCAAGACGCCCCAGAGACCAAAAGCTTAAACCTGTAACGGCCCCCATTGAGTATCATCGCCGTCACCCCGCATTCGTAATCCACCACCGAAGGATTCAGAGAAACCCCGTGTGATCGACCTTTTCACTAGATCCTCCGGGCGTCAAGATTCTCGTGGATGAGTGGGACAGTTATCTGGGGCGGGGTTACAGGCGAGGCCATGTCGACCCTACTGTAGAACAACGGGCTACTTTCGCCGAAACCATGCTTGAACCGACCCCGAGTTAAGTTATAGCATTCAATGTGGCACTGCAAGAAACATCATCGAGCAACGTCGTTGAAGATGGCTCGGCGTCGGAGATCAATCTAGACCCGGGCCTACAGTTACGGCGTAATGCGTATCATACCTAGGTGGCCAGGGGTGTGCATCAGAAACGTGATCACTCAACACAATTACTATACATCATATCAGTAAACAAGTAGCCTTGCTTCTGGGAATGTGCTCTCACGTACATATAGTTATCACTTGTGATACTATAATGCCTCCGCTGAGTCATCATGGTATTGTGGTGATCCTACTGGCCCTCGTCGTCTGTTGCCGTTTTCGTTCTGGTTACTAATGTACGTTTGTCTCACTGCAGTGTTAGTGCTCGAACCTATTGGCATCTTACATGACATGGGAATGAACAAATAGCAAGTGCCGTATTTCGCGCAGGCATGCATGTCAAAGCCAATCATCTGTCGATATGAATGATCTTATAGCTCTTTTCAAAGTCCGCTGCTCCGAGGGCCTCTATAGAACGAGCTACTCATTGAAGACGCAATGGCAGGATACATACTTCGTAGTTCCAGAGTCCACATTGATTACTTATCGGGCACTCGGTTTCGCCAGCTCTTGCACAAGCATTGCTGCATCTTAACCTCCTCAGCGAATCATATTCTGATCGCATGATACGCTTATTCAAAATAGCCTATGGAGCTTGGCTTGCAGGGGCTAGTACGCTGTGCCGTAATTCACTGCAACCCTACCCAGCTCCATTACCATGGTCCCTCCAGAATGATGAACGTCGTATTATCTAAGATTCCTCTCACAGCTCAAGGCGAGCGTCAATCGTGAAACCGAAGTGATAAGGATGACGAATCTAGCACTTTCTTTTTCTCATGCACGACAGGGGTCTCGAGATCTATCAAGAGAAGCCACGAGTAATCTCCTAAATCCCGGAAACCTGCATGGCTTCATGCTTACCTTCCGCAACAAGATGGGGACGCCAGATGATCCATTTACAGCTCAGGCTAGACATCGCCGTATCGACCTTGGCAAGAGCTCCATAGCTAAGAGATGACTATTCTCACAAAGGCCTCGGTTTATCATCCCCGCCAGTATGCATGCGAGGTTTGCAGAATGCTAACACGTTTTGAGATTATGGGCCAAAGCACCGAGGGAGGGCTTGTCAGTCCCTCTGCTCATCCTCCTTTATCATAAATATCGGGCCCGGTTTGCTATGCTATCTAGCGCCAACTCACCCCGATTACCTAAAGGACTTAGACATTCACTGCAACTTGCTAGTATCACCATAGCTTCTGCTTGATAAATACCATGGCACACAATACATTGAATGGTAAAGTGTCGTCGGGGAGTGGCTCAAAGGACCCCATCATCCTAGTCCAATCCGTTGCGTTTGCGGGCCACACTATTCCTCTTATGCAGGTTGCGGAATATCTCGTCCAGCGTGGTTATGATCTTTACTACCTTGGAGGAACTGAATTCAAAGAACCCATCGAGGCCACTGGGGCCAAATTTATTCCCTATCTTGGACTCAGCGATACCTACATCCAGACATGGATGCCTGTCCACGGGTTAGGGACTGGTATAGAAACCGCACCCTCATGTCTCAGGTTGTTAGCCGCTTGTATGCCCAGCCAGCTTGAATCAACACGGAACGCTCTGACAATTATACGAGAGAAGGAACCGGGTCGGGAGGTTGTCATCGTGTCCGAAATTGCCGCCGCAGGTAGCATTGTTCCGTTCAGGCTCGGCGCTCCGTTGCCCGCCGGCTATTCCGAGCTCCCGAAGGTTCTCGGCGTCAACATCATCCCACCTTGGTGGACGTCGGTGGACTATGTCGACTTTTGGATGGACACGCCTTACGTTCCCGGCCAGGACCCGAAGATAAACCGGCTCATCGCCAAGTTGGCGCGAGAAGGCATATTCAAGGAGGCGTGGGAGCGCTTCCCAGTTACACTGGAGTCATTATCGGCTTTTAAGCCGATGGAAAGTCTCTTCGGCGATCATGCTAAGAAAATTGATCACGTCTTATGGGATATGCATTTCGTCGCTCCCGATAAGACCCTACAGATGTGTATCCCTTCGCTCGAGTATCCCAGATCAGACTGGCCGCCTAATTTCGCCTTTGGCGGGACGCTGCCGCCTAAGGTGTGTATATATAGAGTTTCATTCCCTATATCCTAACGTCCTTATGTTTTTCAATCTAGCAAGTCCTGTGTTATTAAGTTAAAAACAATCAACTAACATGTTTTTAGGCCTGGCGCAAGCCTAACTTCGTGTTCCCGGACTGGTTCGCGCGGGTGCAAGAGAACAGTGCGAAAGATGTGACTTCCGCCTCCCGCAAGAAGATCGTAGCCATTGCGCAGGGGACCCTAGCTATCGACTGGGAAAATGTGCTCATCCCGACGATTCAGGGGTTGGCACACAGGGACGATGTTCTCGTCGTCGCCATCCTGTGTGTCAGAGGCGCCGAACTGGGAGACCGGCTGCCAATACCGGTGCCGGCAAATACCATTGTCGTAGACTACTTCCCGTACGATGCAGTCATCGAGCATGCGGACGTCTTCGTCTCGAACGGCAGCTACGGTGTGTTCTCACATTGTGTCGCGCATGGTGTGCCGATGGTCCTCTCTGGCTATACTGAAGATAAGGGCACGCTAGGTATGAGGGCAGAGTATGCGGGATTCGCTATCAACCTGGGCATAGAGCAGCAGACACCTGAAGCGTTTGAAAAGGGAGTTGATACTGTCCTCGCCAATCCTAAATACAAGACACGGGCTATGCAATTAAGGGCCGAAGCAGAAGAGTTCGATGCCTTGGGCACCGTGGAGAGAGAGCTGAGGGCTATGTTTTAGACCTACTATAGCGTAGACGGTATAGAACATGCCTCAGATAGTCATGAACTTCATTGGTATTGTTATTGTTCAGAAAGCCCGGTGTTGCCCTCAGAACATATGTGCGGCGAATGAGTTGTATGCCAATATATCTCAGGCGATTGCCCTTTTCATCACCACTCCTCATCACCAACTGTATGCTATTCCTCGTATTCATCCTTAAGTTCGCACCAATCTTGATTCGCTATCTGCAGATTAACCAACAAGATGCCAGAATCCCCAGCCGGGACACGCAACCGGTCGACACGACAGACATTCTCATCGGAGTCGTCGTCCATGGTGACGAGGATCACCCCGGACTCTTTCCAATCTTTATCCACGACCGCCACGAAGTAGAAAGGATCGAAGCGGCGCGCAGATATGTTAATTAGGTGATCCGTGACTGCGGCGACCAAAGGCTGTCCTGCGAGATCGTGCCGCGGCCCTCGTTTGACCATCGGATTATCCGGGAGCCGACAATTGCACTCGCTTTCGATGGCCGATACATCGTCTTCGTTGACGCCGTCTATGTGGATGTAGAGTGCGAATGGCAGCAGCGGATCTTCGACGTGCTTGTAGGGATCGAGAGCCGGCGAACTAATGGGAGGAAGCGTCAAATCGACTGACATGGTGTTGACTATTGACAAAACATTTAACATATATTTTGCTAGGGATTTATCCTTTTTTGAAATTATGGTATTTACAAAAGGATGTTAATTTCACTGACTAAAGAACTATCTCGAGCTTTAACGAAGGGTTAAGATATACTACACGTGGTGTGTATATTGTGAACATACGGTGAGAGGGTCGCGAAGGGTCTGACGTCACAAGATACCAAAAGGGACATAGTATTCTGACTAGAATTCAAGTCAGGCAACAGGCAACATTCGAGTAGATGTAGTTACTCGTAGAATACCATCTTTCTCCATCATCAAGATGTTGTGGCTGTCTTACCCGACGATAGTTTGTGAGAAAGGATATAGAAAGGTGTAGACAATAATAGGAGCCACGCTCATTGAATTAGTCGCTTCTGATTTCCTATGGCTTTTAGGCGCCAACGAGACCAAATACTATCATAGGAATAACTGGGTATATACAATAGTAGCAGAACACAACAGCGAGTATGACTTCGACGGATGAGAGGTTAGTATTATTTAGTTGACGAAAAGGGGGGATGACAAAGCGGTCAGGCTAATGAACTACGCTCAAATCAAAGCACCTATTAAATCAACATTTTCCACGTACACTCATGTCGGATCCCTTGCTCGTCTCCTGTAGGCAGGATATTCACCTGTCTTCAAAGATTGCACAATCAGCGTCGCATTATTTGCTGTTAGCGATGAAATTATATAAATTGAACTTTGCCACCGACGTCTATCTTACGATCGAGGTATCAATGTATTCTAACCAGTCAAGGAAAATCTTGAACAGGGGAACGATATTATGCCTATCCATACTCCATAGTTGGTGAACCTAACCACGCCGTAGTAATGCAAACGCTATTAGAAATGCCAAAGCACAGAACAAGCCTGAGGTTTGAGAACTCAGACAATAAGATAGCCCTCGTGCTTGTCAAGTTCAGAGGACAGAGAGAATCATATATACGACAGAACAGCTCAGATATCCACACCGACTTCGTACATTGGCGCATTAGCTCCTCGTCCAACCGTTTTATACGTCTTCCATACGCCATTTGATCCGAGAGTATCGAAACGAGATGTATCTAGGTCGGCAGCGCCTTCCGAGAAATCAGAGTAGTAGAAACCGACGACGACGACCAAGTATGTCAAAAGTAGGATACTACCTTTAAAATAGTTGCTCTTTCCCTCGCCATACATGTAACTCAGGAGGAAGACACATAGAATCACAGTCACCATATCCCACTGGGGGAAGAGTAGGCTGAAGGTCCAGTGGATGGGATCCTGTTGATCCCCTGAAGGCTGGAAGGGGAACACAGCCGAGAAGAGGACCAAGGCGGGTATCTGGAGTAGGCAGACCTGAAGAGCGTATGCGGAACCGATTTCCATAGAGAGAGCGATGTTTCCATTCATTGCGAATGAAATAGCGTTCTAAAAGGCAGCCGCCATTAGTAAGACAATTAGGGGGCGCGTGTGCGAAATAGATGTGACTTACCAGGAACTCGGTTGTGTTTGGAACCAAAGCGAACAGCGTAATTCCCAGAAACTTAGGATCAATGGCATAATTATCTAATACCACGTCCACTGTGTCAACCAATATCTCGGCAACAATGGCATATAGTACGGTGGCACCCATCAAAATGATCGAACTCTTCATTCTACCCCAGTTCGGAGCATCGTGTCCTCCGTGGGAAGCCTGGGCGTGTTCTGCAGCGTCTTCCATATCAGGGAAAGTGCTCGAGCGCAGAGGCGTGGGCCGCGCCGCCGATGAGCTGGCGCCCACACCTGATGTCTGGTGAGAGATACGACGTGAACCTCGTGCATCGCGGGCGGCAATAGCGGCCGCAGTGGCAGCGAGTTCAGTCACACCACGGATTAAGTTGTTATTCTCAGCATCTGAGAAGCCAGGAATCTGGACATGGGACCGGATGCTGTCCGACCCACTACCACTACTTTTGGGGGGGACCATGTGCGCGGTTTGAGCAGCTCCGTTCGGCGGAATAGAGCCCGGCCCTGACGGTTGGCGCGAATGATGGCTGTCTGGATCTCCTGGAAGACCAACTTGTTTTAGAGATTGGCCGAGAATCCGTTTGTATAGTGTACTATTCTGTATATCGGTACCACTTGCATCGACAGCGTGACGCGCATCAGAGATACGAGCAGCTAGTAAGTGATGATGCTCATCCTGCTTTTTCTCGTCGCTTTCACTGTTCCAGATGACTGCTGCGTGTGTTCGAAGAGTGAACCATAAACCGATTATATAGGAACAGAACAGAAGAGCAGCCGCCAAGTAGCAGTAGGGACGAACAGACTCGATATAGAAACGATCATCTAGTGCTGGCCTCTGGGAATAGTAGCAACGGCGGCAATCCCGCTCCCGCTCACGTTCTACACCCGTGTGTTTCCAGAAGTCAGTACAGCTCTGACATCGAAGCTCATGTGTTCCATAGATTTGGTAAAACAGTGTTGGCCCAAAGGCAGCAACTACCGCGAATAACAACATAGTAGATGTCACTCCGGCTGATCTGGCGTTGAAGCGCTGAGTCTTGCGCTTGATGGCACCAAAGCACATAGATAGCCCAGGTAAGAAGAGGATACCCGCGAAAATGCTTCCGATGATGCTACCCTCAACCAATTGGCCTTTACCATCCTTCAACGCAATGCAGTAGAGGAAGACTTCAACAATTGTCGAGAAGAGAGCGTTGATAGCGGCACCTAGACCCATGGAGGACTGCGCTGAAATCGAAGCCACGGCTTGTCCAATAAAGTAGGCGAGGGGAATGATGGAGAACAAGGCAGCGACAAAGAGGAAACCAGGCGATGTTATGAAGCTCTCAATTCCTAAAACACGTTCCAATACTAGCCAATCAAAGATGACGAAAAAGACCACGGCCATAAGGTTGATAAGGAAGATATTGGTACCATCGATAGTATACTTCCAATATTTAGACCCCACAGCGCGGTAGGTGCAGAGTAGAATCGAGGAGTGAGGCCCGTCTGAAACTCTCGCTGTCGTGATATCGGACTCGAAGGATAATGCTAGCGGATGTCTCCTCAGATGATCAAAGAGAAGGTTGGTGACCTTCCCCATGGGGATCCAGAACACCAAGAGCCAGCATATGGCGGATGCGATGAGCAGAGAGGGAGTGATGAGTCCCCAGAAGACGATAAAGAATATGACTCGTCCGATGTTCCACTCCCCTCGGCCGAACAGACGCCTTTTCAGGCGACGGCCTGTTTCCTCCGCATCAATTAAGCCGTGACGAACAGAGCGCCCGAGCAGACTGTCCGTCTCGCTGGGTTCAGAATCTATACTCCTCCTTGAACGACCAACGATGGATCGATTCCGGGATTCGGGACCAAAAAAGAGCCGGCCATACTCAAGGTCTCCGCTCTGCCACTGTTCGTACTCACTGATACTGCGCCCCTCGCCTTGGTCTTCATCCAGGTAGGCCTCGTCCTGTTCAAGACGAACAAATTTGCCAAAGGGATAGAACAGATAACCAGCCAAGCCCCATAACACTCGTCCATACTCTCTCCCACTAGGGGCGGCAGCGAAGATAAAACAGATAACAGCACCAAACGCCGCAAACGAGGCCATCCACCAACCAAACAGTAAGGTCCAGAGAATGTTGAAGAAGAGTAACCAGCTACTAACATGGCCACCTGGGGAAGAATGGATGTCGACCTCGGCCGTCTTTTGTACCGATCGATTTTTCTTGTATAGCGCAGGCTTCCAGATCCTGATACCAAACGGATGCGTTTCGTTGATGGCTTGCTGGCGATCTTTGAGCGTGAAACTCTCAGCATCGCTTATATCATCATCCTCTTCGTCTTCAGGGGTTTCTTCGTCAGGGGGTGAATCTTGTATGACAGCTTCTTCGTGAGGCTGGACTTGAGTAGGACTTCTCGCGCCGTCTTCTAGGCGTTCGTCTATACCTGCATCCTCCGGTGCGGTGCTGCGACTCGATTGTACACGGGAAAGGGCAGGGGGGGCCATTGTTCGCCTACGCATGGTTGAAGTTTGTCGAGTCGAGTCGACGTTGTATGCTTGCCTCCCAGCTGCATCGTTCTCTACCTCTCGTATGTCATCATCGGTCGAAAAAATCTCACCCCTATATGGAGCTTGTGCGCTGGACGAGGTGCGACGGGTCATGGGAGGTTTTCTGGGACGCTGTCTGCCTCGGTCGGGGCCTAGCATAGGGGAGCGCAGCGGCTGGTGACTAGCCCTGGTGTGGGAGCGGTCATGAGCGGAAAGGTCGCCTATATACTGAGAAGAGGCTGAAGGCGGAGGAGGGCTCTGAAGGGTGCCTGGGCAGGGCAAAAGAGATCAGTTTCGAACTTTCACTTGGCGATGGGATTGAGGTTTGACCAATGGAGGAATAGGGACCATAGCGCATGTGGCGGCACAGCAGTAGACATACCGTATGATTGCTCGGATCTCCGCCTCAGAGCATCGCTAGACGGCACACTTTCGGGCAACACACCCTCTCTCTCTGGGGCGTCGCGCCTGGTTGAGGGTCGTCGGGTATCGGTGGGCGACTGCGAGTCTGTGACACTCGAGTCCTGCGAATGGGGGTCCATGGTGGCTGAGACGCGATGCACGACGCTGATGGCAAATATATCTGCCTACCTGTTCATGCCAGCGCACGAGAGCCGTTCGAGCCGTTCGAAAACGAGGCGGGACAACGTGCATAGGTAGGAGAGAGCCTGCCCAGGTGGTGACTGGAACACCTCTTACGTCTTGGGTGGGAGCTACCTGCCTACTTGGACTACCTATCTGCTCGCGTTGTTTCAATGTTTAGCTGGAAGCGTAAACAAAAGAGATACCCGGTAGTTTGGTGCATGTGCTGAAAAAGCCACGTCGGAAATGATGAACCCAAGAGCCCACGAGGTTTTTAAATTACGAGGGAGGACGAGAGCATTGTTTGTGGGAAATAAGGCGATAAATGATTACAGTCGGTAAGATACAATATGTACAGTACGGTTGGTTATATGTACCGGCCGAGGAGAATCATGCGAAGTGATGTTGTGTTGCAGTTGCAGCAGCCAAGGTCGAGGTCGAGGGCGAAGAGATGAGGACGAGACAAGGGTGAGAGCGAGGGCACAGCTTTCCCCAAGAGCAATGACGACGAGCGTGATGCGGAGAAGATGCCGTTGGTTGGATGCAAATCAAAACGGTCAGCTCACAGCAGCAACAGCACCACCACCACCAGCACCACAACCGATGCAACTCTACAATTGGCGAGAGGGTAGTAGGTAGGGTAGATGGATGGGAAGGGTAGGTTAAGTAAGTACTTGGATAAGGGACAAGAGACAATAGGGAGGAGACTTGGAAAACTGATATGTTATAGTTACGCAAACGCAGGCACAAGCACAGGTTTATCCTATATCCTCGACGAGGATTTCGTCATATCACGGAGCTCAAGCTCTACTGTAGATGGGCTCTTGGCTTGCTGCCGAGACAGCCGTTGGTGGATGGATGCTATTCACAGCGATAAGACAAGACAGCTCACGAGGAAACATTTGGAGAGAAAGATTATCACACCAGATACCACACACTGCGAGAACTGTGATAGTGCCCCGTGATGCGTTATGGTGGGGACCTTCAGCGTGTCTCCGGGCCCCATCCCCGCTGCATCTCGCTGCATCTGACTGCTATAATGGGTCCGCTAGGTGTGTATCTGGCGTGTAGATAGTGGTAGTTCGGTGGTAGATTACCGTGTAGATAGCGCTCCACAGGGCAGAACAGGGGATCCGTGGGTACCCAAAGCCACCCATCTATGCCGCTTTTAGCTTGGGCTTCCCATCTTCAACCCCTTCAACCTGAATTCACTCTCTTCTTGAACCCATCGCGGAGACTGGACGATATCTGTGTCGTATATAATTTACCGTGAATGATATCCAATAACCATTTCTTGGCTGTAGAATTATCTTTACCTATCAGACAGCTACCCTGTCATATGTCTGGTATGTATTGATTCATGATATCTTATATCTGACGAAGTAGGTGGGTGTATGCTGAGCTACTTGGGTGGGTAGGATGACCGCCTATCATTAAGCTAAAATTGACTCACACAAAAGTTTCGAAGTGTGTACTAGCGATGGAGAGCCTCTTGTCAAACGTGTGAGCACCATCGAAAGATTGTTCGGAGTGAGCGGCAATATCACTGCTCATACAAATCTCTATAGCCATGTCTATTCATATCCATCGTGTTACCACCAGATACGACTAGAATAGTACTACAACAAAAGAGACCGACTATCAGATAAGACGACGGCATAACGGTTAACCAGTCATCATCTTACAATCAAGGTTTATGTCCATCACTCTGCTCGTTAATGGTCGGTCGAACTAATCGTATTGAGTCGACTTGGTGGATAGTCATGATATGCATATACTTACTACATGCGTATGCGAAATCATGCATGTATGTGCCAAAGATGCATCAAGATGCAGAAACCTTATGGGAAAAGGGGCTAACTTGCAATAAACTCTCTCACTTACCTGCAGAGATCCTGCTCTTGATTTAGATCTCGTCCTCGCTTCTCCTCTGATCCCACTTCACTACTAACATTGATAGCAAGAACCATGATTTCAACGTGTCGCGCTCATATCTTAGGTGCATGTGAGAGATTATCACGACTGAATGGACCATACCGGTAGTCCCGAGGTCGAGCTGGCGTCATCCCGTTATGACAAGATAGGGCCCGATTCTAGTCAGGCACCTCTGTATGGCACCCCGAGTCATGTAGGCCTGCGACGAGAGGAACTTCTAGTTTGTCGTCGCCTTGTTATCTCGGCGAAGACCGCTTCTTTACCCAGTGGCAGTTCGGATTAAAGCTACTTCGCTCATCTCTTATACCTGAATAAAGTAAAGAGATAAAGGCAACTCGCAAACTTCGCTAGCTTTTCAACATGAAAAATGTGTTTGACAACGATGGATTTGATATATTCCCCTATTCAGGCGACATCATCCACTCTCGAGTTTTGGGTACCCTTTAATTCAGCTTAAGAGTATAGATAATCCAATTCCATTCTCGTCGAACACGGGCGATATGCTAATCCTAAGATTACTGACAAGAGATGTGTCAAATAGCCTTAATTCAATAAGCGAAATAGCAAATCTTTTGCTTTTTTTTTCTCTATGTTCCTTGTTGCTTCCAGTCAGGTCTTATGATATCTTAGGGAGTAAGACCAACTGTAGTTAGTTATGGGTGTGAATGGTAATAGAGCTGAATTGAAAGAATAGCTTGACAGAAAGCCTCCAATCAACTAAGTAGATTTTCTTGCCTTCCTATGAATAACTACTTGAGAACTGAGGCAATTTGACGTAGGATTAGTCACGACCTTCTGTCCTTAGCTTAGAGGCCTGTCCTTCGATTCCGTTATCTTGTCCCGGAACATTACACTTGATTGCGTTGATACCCACTACCTAACAGAATAAGTAGATTCCAATTTGTTTATTGGCGTCGTTGTAGAACAAAGGCTGCGAGCTACGGTACCGATGGGATAACATAGGTATGTCATCTACCTCCTATAAGAGGGGATGTACTGGCAAAGACAGCAATCAATCAAAGAGTTTGTAATCATAGTCACGATCTATATAGTAGAGGACGTTGAAAGGCTTTTGCCAAATAAGACTTACCCTCCGTTTATATGATTTAACGTGCCTGACAGTAATAGTAAACTTTCGAGAGAAAAATATCTCTACCTAGTTGTACCACTCATTCATGTACACTCGCTTCGGTCGTCATGCCTACGAAAGGACGTTAGTCGTGTAAGAGCACACATACCGGTATATAGCGCACGGTCAAGTTCGGTCGGGGTATCTTGCCCTTTGCAAGGTGTAAGTCATATTCCAAACAGCTGGGCATAATCGAGAACAGATTTGGCAAATTATATTCATGATTGCAGTAAAAGTAAGAAAGGGGTCGAAATAATAAGAAGTGGTCAATCTGACTATTGGTTACAGTAAGCTTCGGCAGGTTCAATGCGATCAACAAGCTGATGTCAAATTATGATGATGACGATGATACGGCGTATTCGAACCCCTGAGTATCTTTCAACGTTATTGTACATCCTCGCCTGCGTATTGTACGCAACAGTCAAGGTTCACAACGTTGACATAGCATCCATGACCTACTTCTGCTTCCTCCTTTCTACGCTATATCAGGGTCAAGTTCGAACACCGATAAGGAGACCTTTCCCTTCCGATACAACTCTTCACAGTATCGCGAGAACGAATAGATCTTACTGACGATGACTTCGCGGCTCGGCTAAATACACCTTCACCTATTCAGGGGTGTGCGGTGGATGTAATTAGAGACCAAACTCCACCAGTGTCACCATCACCAACCGATAGATTATATCCTTTACGATAGCGTATGACCCGAGTGGTTACACACTCGACATCCTCTCTTGAGTAACTAAGACAACATTACTCCCAGTCGTCCGAAGGCCTCTTTCTCTTTAAGAAAAGTTGAACAACCAGATACGTGTACTTGTGAGTGAAAACCGAAGTATTATCGCAATAAGTGTCTCGCTCAACGTGACACTAGGATTGCTAAGTCTGTTCAGTTGTTCCGTGCCTGGGCTTTCGGAGCTTGGGGGAGGGTTTAGTTATGAGGCCTCAGTTCGGTACAAACTACGATTCCCGGGTCCGCAATGTCTGGCAGAGCTATACGTCGAATGGACTGACTCTAGTCGCGGTTGGATTTAACGAAAACTCACCCGCGTTATAAACTCCGAGGACTTCACGCTCCCATTTGCAACGATCTAAAGGCTATCTGGGACGGACCTGAATACTGTTGCAAGTTACGGTCAATTCCCTCTCTGTTATCTTCTCATCCAAGTTTCTTTCTACGAATAGAGCATGAATGAATTTACGAAATACATAAATTAATATTATAGAAGGAGTAGCAGTAATACACTCTCCTGATCATGGTGTCCATTGCTAGCACTTTCTATGCGTTTCTCTTCGAGGCTCTAGATTTACTACTGTATGTCTATGAAATGAATCTGCTTCAGGATTGATCAAGGCACTGTCACTACGTGACACATTGCGAGCTGTTTACTTAAACTAGGCAGGCATACTTGCCATTTGCCTGAGAACTTATATCCACCTAGGTAACTACTTGACGTATAACCTAGTTACCTCCTTACCTTGAACTATACTACGTATTTTAAGACAAGACCCAGATAGGAAAACACCGATCCCTTGCATGCGCCGGGCTTCCATCACTTAACTGGTTAGTCAGTCCGTCAGTCAAGCCATCCTTCTAGAGTAGCGCAGACGGGCAGTCTGAGGGACGGGGTGAACGTGTAATCCATCGCGTGTTGTATCAGATCAGCTTTGTAAGCATGCCCCAGAACGAGTACACCACAAACCAAAGTACGGTAAGGAGGCCTGAGATGTGTGAGACAAGGTCGGCTCCGGCATCATCTGTTCGGCGCCGACAGCAGTTCGCGCCTCTTTTTGCGCCATTCAACGTGAATGAGACATAGCAGCCACATTACGGGGAAAGGAATCAATTCCGCCTACCACGAGTAATCTACCTACCTACCTACATCAGCTACACGCAAGAGACAATAGGAACCTGCATGACTTAAATTATCGAAATAAATAGTGTCAGGTAGGCAGATATTGCTTTTTCTGATTTGAACACAAGGTGAGTCAAATGTACCTTTGCAGCTGTGTGCATATGATGGCTGATTATTTATTGTATGCTTTATTATGCGCCGATTGGCTGAATGACGCAGCACCCGGCCCTGCCTTGGTCATGGATCTACCTAATGACAGTATCTCCATCCTTTTCAAACTAGGTACGCCAAATTAACGGCGACGTTTTCCTAGATCCAGACCAAGTCTAATCGGAGGGGTGCGGCGACTCTAAACCAACAGAGCTCGGGACAGAGTCAATGT